TTAGGGTTTAGGGTTTAGGGTTTAAGGCGACAGAGAAGATGCAACAAGTAAATGGCGCTGCTGAGAGTCAATAAACCCCCGGCCTGTAGAAACACAAAAGGAGGGTTTCCAAATGCAGCAGCAGCAGCAGCAGCAGCAGCAGCAAAAAAGCAGCAGCTACAACAGCAGCGAAAACAGCCGCAGCAGCAGCAACAGCAGCAGCAACAGCAGCAGCAACAGCGGCAGTTGCAGCAGCAGCAAAAACACAAATAACAGCAGCAGCAGCGCCAACAACAGCAACAAGCGCCGTAGCGGCAGCAACAACAGCAGCACCAGCAGCAGCAGCAAAGAAAGCAGCAGCAGCAGCACTATGAGCAGCAGCAGCAGCAGCAGCAGCAGCAGCAGCAGCAGCAGCAGCAGCAAACCTGATGCAGCACCCCGAGCTCAGTAGGCACGTAATAGAGAACAGTAAAAATGCCCAGCAGCAGCTGCAAAGAAGTCATTAGCGGAAGAAACCGGACCGCAGCCTGCGACACAAACCCTAAACCCTAAACCCTAAACCCTAAACCCTAAACCCTAGTTCCCAATCCCCAAACCCTAACTTTTGGAGGGCACGGAGCCGCCTGCGTCACTCCCAGCCCGACGCACTCCAAAGCAAAAAGCGCACCCCACAAACCCTAAACCCTAAACCCTAAACCCTCAACCCTAAACCCTGACCCCTAACCCCTGAACCCTGAACCCTAAACCCTAAACCCTGAACCCTAAGCCCCAAACCCTAAACCCTAAACCGCAACCGCTGAGCCCTAAACCCTAAACCCTAGACCCCAAGCCGTAAGCCCTAAACCCTAAACCCTCGGCGCTGTCGCGGGCGTAGACCCCACTGCGCAAGCCTAAACCCTAAACCCTAAACCCTAAACCCTAGGCTTTCCTTGGCAGCCGCAGGCAAGGGTTTGGAGAAGTGTTTGAAGAAAAAAAGAAAAGAAAATAAAAATGTCGAATAAGCCAACAGCCGATGGACAAATTGAACTGTCGGAGGGTTTTCCAAAAACCGCCGCCAAGGCCCCGGGTGTACGTACACCTCAGGCGGCACCCAGCTGCACGCAAACCCCAAACCCTAAACCCTAAACCCTAAACCCTAAACCCCAAACCCCAAACCCTAAACCCTAAACCCTCGGAGGGGCCTGCAGCGACAACAATCTGCTGCCTAGAGACTCCGGAGGGGTGGAGAAAGAACTGCTCTTCAGGGCCAGAACCGACACACTAAACCCTAAACCCTAAACCCTAAACCCTAAACCCTAGCCCTGAGCCCTCTGCCAGTGAAAAGACTACGACGCTGCGCAGCTTAAAATGCGAAACCCTAAACCCTAAACCCTAAACCCTAAACCCTAGCTGCACAGGCTCGGGATCTGCGACTGCGGAGCGCTGACTGGAGGGGCGTCGTCTGCAGTCTCAGCTGCCTAGGCCTTAGGGTTTAGGGTTTAGGGTTTAGGGTTTAGGGTTTAGGGTTTACTGGTCTCCCATCTTCGGCCAGGTGTTGCAGCACCTGCCGGCGTCGTTGCCAGCAACAAAAGCCCCGGAGGAGAAGGTGGTAGCAGCAAGAGCAGCAAATGCTTGCACGTCCTTTCTTGCTGCTGCTGCTGCTGCTGCTGCTGCTGCTGCTGCGGGTGCTGCTGCTGCTGCTGCTGCTGCGGGAGATGGCAGCAGCAAAGACAAGCTCTGCCACAGCAGCAAAGTGTAAAGGCCCGTAGCCATTACCAAGTGGAAGGCCAGGCGGTAGGGAGAAACCCTAAGACGCACTCGCAAACCCTAAACCCTAAACCCTAAACCCTAAACCCTTAACCCTGCATCCTAGGCCCCACACCCTACACTCTGCACCCTAAACACAAAACTCTAAACCCTAAACCCTAAACCCTGATCCCGCAGGTATATTTCTTTTAAAACGCGCAGAAAAGGCTCGCAGCAAAATTAGGGTTTAGGGTTTGAGACAAAACAGGGTCTAGAGTTTAGGGTTCAAAGAGGGTTTAGGGTTTCTCAATGCCCCAGATCGCCTCTAGAGGCCTCGCTTCTGCAGCCCACCCCCCTAAACCCTAAACCCTAAACCCTAAACCTTTCTACCTGAAGCTGAAAAGTCGGTTCCTAGGGTTTAGGGTTTAGGGTTTAGGGTTTACCGCGGGGTCTTGACCTCAGTCTCAGGCTCTTTAAAACCCGAACGCACCATCCACCACCCCACAAGGCCCTGGATGCCTCCCAGCATTCCGTAGACTGCGCGCACAAACCCTAAAGGCTAAACCCTAAACCCTAAACCCTAAACCCTTAACCCTAAAACCCTAAGCCGCCGGCTGTGGGCGCGTTTTGCCGCCAGTGCGTGTCTGTCTTGTTCTCAGCGCGAAAGCCCCCACTGCGGTGCCTAGGATTCAGGGTTCAGGGTTTAGGGTTTAGGGTTTAGGGTTTAGGGTTTAGGGTTTACCGGCGAGGCGGAGGGCGAGGGGGAGTTTGATGCATCTTTTGAAAAGGAAAAAAAGTAAACCCCCGAAAAAGAAAACCCCCAAAACCCTTCCGAGCCACCGATGAACAAATTCGAAAAAATAAATTCTTTTGTAACTTTCCAAAGACATTCCCGCGTTCAACTGCAGGTATTCTGGGGTTTGCTGCAGACGCACACGCGAGGGTTTAGGGTTTAGGGTTTAGGGTTTAGGGTTTAGAGCATAGGCTTTAGGGTTTACGATTCAGAGCACAGGGATTCGAGCCGAGATCACAGGAACCATCATTTCGTGTTTTTGGTTTGAGAGTTTGACATTTTGCGGTTTGGGGTAGGGTTTAGGGTTTAGGGTAATCCCAAATCCGTTTAGGGTTTAGCACTTTGTAGGCTTCAAACGCCTCCAGCCACTCCGACTCATTCCGCGGCCAACAGCTTCCAACAAACCGCCAACGAGTCATTGACAAACCGCTTTCTGTCAGTCTGGTCAAACCGCCCCAAACCACCACCAGAAACACCCACGCGGTGCACCCTGCGCGCAAACCCTAAACCCTAAACCCTAAACCCTAAACCCTAAACCCTAAACCCTTATCGCTGCATCCTGAACCCTGGCGCCTGGGCAGCGGGGGATGGGCGTCCACGGCGTGTTTGGAGGGAACGGGGAGTGTTGGGCTCTACGCTGGAAGTTGCGGGTCCTCGGCCCCAAACCCTAAACCCTAAACCCTAAACCCTAAACCCTAAACCCTAAACCCTAATTCTCAAGCTTACCGAGCAACCAGAGGCCTACGGGGCGTCTGTAGCCCTCCTTCACAAACCTGCATAGACACCCCGAAGATGGCTGCATTCAAGACATTCTGCTGCTGCTGCTGCTGCTGCTGCTCCTGTTGCTGCTGCTGCTGCTCCTGTTGCTGCTGCTGCTGCTGCTGCTGCTGTAAGGGGTCGCTGCCTCGCCTGTGGGCAGCAGCAAAAGGGTCTGGCTGTGTCTTTGTTGCTTCTTCTTCATTTTGCATTAAATGGAGTTTTGAATTATCTTTTAAATTCTTTTTTGAAATGCCATTTGAGTCCTCCTCGCCGCTGCCGCTGCTGCAGCTGGGGTGTACGTACACCTCAGCACCCCGCAGCCTCGCAGCAGACAAAACGAAGCAGCACTTTTGATTTCTAATTTGCTGCTGCAGCTGCTGCTGCAGCTGCTGCTGCAGCTGCTGCTGCAGCTGCTGCTGCAGCACTTGCTGCTGCAGCACTTGCTGCTGCTGCACTTTGGGCCAAAAGCCCCCACGGGGGCCCCCCAGGGGCCCCCAAAGGGTCCTCTGGGGGCCCCCCAAGGGGGCCCTGGGGAGGGCTGGGGTGTACGTACACCTCAAGAATGAGCTGCGGTGTACAAACAGCTTCGGAGGGCCCCATGGAAGGCATAGGCGAGCCGCCCCAATGGCCTGCATGGGGTTTAGGGTTTAGGGTTTAGGGTTTAGGGTTTGGGGTTTGGGCTGGTGCTCTCCAGGGTCGAGGCGAGGGTTTAGGGTTTGCGCCTGCTCATCGCCTGCTGTGTACGTACACCCCAACTCGCAACAAAACTCTACTTTAAAGAAAACAAAATAAAAGCTGCTGCTGCTGCTGCTGCTGCTGCTGCTGCAGCACAGAAATACCCAAAGGGTTCACCAGGGGCCCCCAGCATGTCTCTAGGGGCCCCCGGGGGGCCCCCTGGGGCCCCTGGGGGCCCCCCAAGGGGCCCCCTCAGTGACTTGTAAGGTACTTGTGGGTTCCAGAGGCCCCATGAAGAATCAAATGAGCAGTTTTTCAATTAAAAATGACTTTTAAAATATATTTCAGTTATTTAATTTATTTTTAAAAAATGTTTCCGCACAATATATTTGTTCCGGGGAGGCGGCGGCGACGGGTGCCGCTGGGAAACTCCAAAAAGAGGAAGTTCAGAGAGATAATTTGATCCATCTTTGACAAAACTAATTAAATTATTGTTTTTTATTTATTTATTTTCAATTAAATTATATTTATTTGTTAATTATCCACTCTTTTGGCTCCTAGTCGTTCGAGCAGTCATCACTCGCACGTTCAGTTTGAGGTGTACGTACACCTCAGAACAGAAGTTGAAAAGTCGCGGCTTTTGCGCAGAAGTTCACTTTTGGACTTTTATTTATTAATAATTCCCTTTTAAGGATCATTTTATTATTTTTGATTTACAAATCCGCCAATTTCTTTCCAATTTCTCCTCTTGATGGCGGGTAGCAACTCCTTGGCTTGCTGGCCAAGGCCTAGGGTTTAGGGTTTAGGGTTTAGGGTTTACTGCAGGGGCCTTGAGTCTTCTAAGCAGGGTTTGGGAATTGCAATGAGGGTTTGCGGCTGCCGCAGGGCGGCACGGCGCCTTCGCTGCAGCCCTAAACCCTAAACCCTAAACCCTAAACCCTCAGCTATAGGCTGTCCACGCGAAAGCCAGTCCCGTCTTTTCGCTGTCACCTCGTGGCCTGACCCGCAAACCCTAAACCCTAAACCCTAAACCCTAAATCCAGAAATCAGGTGTACATACACCCCAGAGTCACGGCAACCGCTCTCTCGGTATGCCCGTAATCCGCACTTTTCTGCAAATTGCTGATGCCATTTGCTGCTGCAGCAGCTCCTGCAGCTGCTGCAGCTCTCGCCGCTGCTTCTCGAGTGCTGCAGTTGCTGCCGCCACCTGCAGCAGCAGAAAACCGGCAGCAGCAGCAGCAGCAGCAGCAGCAGCAGCGTCGGCGACAGCAGCAGCAACAGCAGCAAACAGTGACAGCGCAACCAAGGCAGCAACAAAGTCAGAGCAGCAGCAGCAGACGCAGCTGCAGCGCGGGAAGCAGCCGGCAACTAGCCAGCAGAAGCAGCAGCAGCAATAGCAGCAGCAGCAGCAGCAGCAGCAGCAGCAGCAACAGCAGCAGCAGCAGCAGCTTACTTCGCTCTTGAGCGTCGCCTGCTTCCTCCGCTGCTCCTTAGCAGCACTGAGGGGCTTCTGACAAGCCGCCCGAGCAGCAGCAACCTCATTCGATAGCCTGCGAAGCAGCAGCAGCAGCAGCAGCAGCAGCAGCGACAGCAGCAGCAGCAGCAGCAGCAGCAGCAGATGCAAGGACAGCAGGCCCACTGCAGCTGCTCGGCCACTTGAAGAGCAGGGCTGCTCTGCTCCATAATAAAAGCTTTGGTTTCATCTTAGAAGCGTAGGTTTTGAAGTTAGGGTTTAGGGTTTAGGGTTTAGGGTTTAGGGTTTACGAGTCTAGTGCCGCCTGGTTATGCAGCAGCTGCAGCAGCTGCAGTGTCTCGGCACCCCCCAGCAGCTCTTGCAGCTGCTCCACGCAGTCCTGGTACCCCAACAACTGCAGCAGCAGCAGCAGCAGCAGCAGCAGCAGCAGTAATAGCAGCAGCAGCAGCAGCAGTGGCAGAAGCAGCAGCAGAGGAGGAACATGGAGTATATTCTGGTACAAAATGCGCCACCAGTCGTAGCAGCAGAAGCAGCAGTAGAAGCAGCAGCAGCAGCTGCTGCTGCTGCAGCAGGTTCCTGCTGCTCGCTCCCAGACGCGGCCTGTATATGAGCGATGAGGGTTTAGGGTTTAGGGTTTAGGGTTTAGGGTTTAGGGTGTATTACCTCTTCCTTTTTCCTCTGGAGCTCACTCGGGAGAAAGGTGGTTTCTTGCCAGTTCTGCTGCTGCTGCTGCTGCTGCTGTTTGCTTTTGCTGCTGTTTGCTGCAGCAGCAGACTGCAGCACGCGGCTGTAGAGGAAGCCCCGCAGCTCCATTAGCTCCAGCAGCAGCTGCCGCCTAATTGTGTCATTGCCCAGAAGCGTATCTTTAATGCTGCTGCTGCTGCTGCTGCTGCTGCTGCTGTTGCTGCTGCTGCTGCTGCTGCTGCTGCTGCTGCTGTCCTCTATTCCCTCCTCAACAATCCAGCCTCGCGTGTCTGCTGCAGGGGCCCCCTCTTGGGGGGCCCCTTCTTCTCCCTGCTGCTGAATTTCGATGTGCGCTGCGGCCTCTGCGTCTTGCTGCTGCTGCTGCTGCTGCTGCAGCTGCTGCTGCAGCAGGGGGATCTCCGGCGCTGCTGCTGCTGCTGCTGCCACCGCCATGTTGCCCTCTGCAGCAACCAGCCGCAGCAGCGGCAGCAGGGGGCCCCCCCCCTCCTTAAGAGGGGCCCCCGAAGTTGCATAAGCAGCAAAAGATTGATAAAAGGAAAGCAGCTGCTCGCCTTGCTGCTGCAGCAGCTGCTGCGCCTGCTGCAGCCGCACGGGCAGCTTGCGGTGTACGTACACCTGGAGCTGCTTCTGCAGCAGCAGCGGATCTCCTGCTGCTGCTTCTTCAATGCCATACTTCGTGCACAGCTGCCTGTACACTTCTTCTGCTGCTGCTGCTGCTTGCTGCAGCTGCTGCTCCTTCTTCTCGCTGTCCGCTAGCTGCAGCAGCAGCACAAAAGCCACAAAACTGCTGCTGCTGCTGCTGCTGCTGCTGCTGCTGCTGTTAGTTAAATGCCGCGAGATAAGGGAGAAGCACAAACAGTTAAGAGACACGAAGCAGCAAAAGGAGACACAAAAGCTGTCCCAAAATAAACCATGCGAAGCGATTCGCACGCTCAGCAGCAGAAGCAACTGCAGCAGCAGCAGCAGCAACTGCAGCAGCAGCAGCAGCAACTGCAGCAGCAGCAGCAGCATGCTTCCTAGAACTGAATTCAAGTTCCTGCTGCAAGGGCGAGGCCCTCTCTATTCCAAAGAGCAGCACAGGAGACTTGCAAGTAATTAAATATTTAAAAAGCATTTATTATTAAATAATTATTTAAATTAAAATTATTTAAATTAATTAAAATTATTTAAATTCATTTCTTATACCATTCTTTGCTTCTGCTGCAGCGTTTTCTGCTGCGCGGGCACGAGGACGTTGGCGGCCCTGGCGAGGGCGCTGCGGGGGGCAGCAGAGGCGGAAAAGAGTGGAAGTTGAGCGAATTAAGTGGAAAAAAAAGGAAATAAATGCAATTAAATGAAATTAAAATTAAAAATAAAGTTTAAAAACAGCTTTCTGGCTTTTTTTGCTTCAAAACGCACCGAGAAATGTCCGCCAAGTGCAAATTTTGCTGCTGGAAAGTTCGCTGCAGGCGGCGCCACTGTCTGTACACCGCAGAGCCGAAGGCTTTCGCGAGGATTCCCTCGGCCGCCTGGCGCGCAGAAGTCGGAAATAAATAAATAAATAAAAAGAATTTTATTTTTAAATAAAAGAATTCCACTTTAATAATTCAAATTAATTAAAATAAACGCCACTCGGGAGTCCAAAAAGCTCGAAAAGACGCGGCGGAAAAGCGCGGAAAACGGCCCGCGCGGCGCCGCGCAGCGCTGAGGTGTACGTACACCGCAACTTCCAACCCACCCCCTCCTTCTGAAGGATTTCCACCAACGAGTTTATTTCTTTAAATCCAAAATGGCATTCTTTTCTTTCTTTGACGAATTGAGAGGCCTCTGGGCTTTCGGGGGGCTTCTCGAGCGCCAGGTTTATGTGCGCTGCCATGCCTGCGGCGCAGAAGCAAACACACTGCAGCAGCTCAAGCCCCCGCTGCTGCTGCTGCTGCTGCTGCTGCTGCCGCTGCTGCTGCTGCTGCTGCTGCTGCATGCGCTTTTGCTGCGCTTGCTGCAGCGGCGCACCCTTCAGCCGCAGGTGGTAGTCTTCAGGGAGCATTCTGCGGCAGAGGAGCCAGCCAATGACTCCCTCGTAGGGCACATCCGCAACTTCTTCCATTTCAAATTAAAAAGAAAAGAAGTTAAATGAAACAAAAAGAACTTTAATGGTTGCAGATCAGCGCCAGCTGCGCGCGCGGCGGCCCGGGCGCAGCAGCGCGCGTTCTGGGGTGTACGTACACCGCAGAAAAGCTGAATTTGAATTCGAATTCGAAAAGCAAAAAGACAGCGGCGGGCGGCGGCTGGGGGCGCAGGCGGGAGTTATCACTTCTTTTTAAGTTGCAAAAAGAAGAAATGGAGAATTATTTCATTTTATTTTTTAAAAAATGAAAAATAAAGATTAAATTCCGCAAAAGAGGCTCGCAGCCAACGCGGGCGCATGCAGCGGCGGCGTCGCCGCCGACAGCCGCGCAGTGTCTGCAGCTGAGCTCCCGGGCCCTTTTTTTCCGTTTAAAAACAATTAAAAGCTTTTAAAATATATTTAAATGTTTTTTAACAACTAATTAATTCAAAATTATTCAAAATTCGACCAAAACGGCCAACACTCCCCCCCTGAACACTCGCCGGGGCTCCTCCACCGCTGGCAGCGCCGCCGCCCCCAACGGCGCCTCCTTTTGCTGCAGACTTCCACCAAAACATTTCTAAATTCCTTTTTAAAAGAAGTGAAGTTCATTTAATACATTTTGCGGAGTTTGCTGCGGCTTCGCCTCCGCCGCACTGTACAGACACCTCAGCGCCGCGCCCCAGAGCCCCCTGCGCCCTCTCGGCCTTCACTTTTTCTTCTTTGCAATTTTTTTTCCAACAAATCCAAATTTGGACTTCGCCGAATTTCTCTCCGCAGTTTTGGCCCCTCCCGGCCCCCCGTCAGCTGCTGCACCAATGCAGCAGCAGCCAGCGGTGGTGCTGCAGCAGCTCGTGGCAGGGGAAGCAGCAGCAACAGCAGCAGCAGCAGCAGCAGCAGCAGCAGCAGCAGCAGCTGTTTAGGCGGTTCAACAGCTCGAAGCGCAGCAGCAGCAGCAGCTGCAGCAAAGGCCGCTTTCCCTTCGCTGCTTCGGGGGCCCCTGGCCTCAGTTTCGGGTGTACGTACACCCCAAACTCCCCATGAGCCGCAAACCCGAACTGGGGGGCCCCCTGGCCTTTGGGGGCCCCCGGGGCCCCGGCGCTGCAGCAGGAGGGTCTCGGGGCCCCCGGCGTCGGGAGTTGCGGGAAGAACAGAAGTTGGAAATTAAAGAAGCTTTTGAATTATTCGATTCCGAAAAAACTGGAAAAATGGACTACCATGAGTTGAAGGTGCGCGCGCTGTTCGGGTGTATGCGCGTACACCTGAAACTCCAGGTGTACGTACACCGCAGGTCTGCGCGCGCGGCGCTTTTCTTCATTTTTGGGAATTCTTTCGTTTTTCCTTCTTTTTTATTCTTTTTTCTTCTTTTTTATTCTTTTGTATTCTTTTTTGTTCTTTTTTGTTCTTTTTTTCCTCTTAATTTCAGTTTTTTCGACTTAAACTCCTTTTTTCTGCTGCAGGTCGCCATGAGGGCGCTGGGGTTTGATGTCAAAAAGGCTTATGTGCAGGAACTCATGCGTTCTTATGACAAGCAAAACACAGGCTTTATAACCCAAAGCGACTTCGAAGAGATCAGTGAGGGTTTAGGGTTTAGGGTTTAGGGTTTAGGGTTTGGGGTTTAGGGTTTGGGGTTTGGGGCGGTTGGAAGTCACTGCATCCAGTAGCATCTCTTTCTCTCCAACTAAAACGAATTTAAATTTGAAGTTTATTTTTGGAATTAAATTAAAAGGAATAAGCACAAGACAGAGAGCCGCGCGCAACAGCTTGGCTGATTCAATTAAATTTATTTTTAATTTTATTTTTTATTTATTTTAATTAAATTATCCTTCTAATTAAACCACTTCAGTTAAATAACTCAAATTAATTTAATTAATTTAATTCTCTAACCCCATCGGCTGCCGCAGTTCCTAAAGATGTGCATTAATTGAAATAAAAGAAACAAATTCATCTTTTGTTTGATTCAAACTAGTTGAAAAGGATTATTAGAATTAATTGAATTAAATGGAATTCAGAAGTTAATGGAATTAAATGGAATTCAGGAGTTAATGGAATTAAATGGAGTTAAATGGAGTTCAGAAGTTAATGGAGTTAAATGAAATTGAGGAGTTAATGGAATTAAATGGAATTGAGGAGTTAATGGAATTAAATTTAATTGAATTAACTTTTTGTCTGCAGTGACCCAAAAGTTCCTCGAAAGAGATCCTGCGGAGGAACTGCTGAAAGCTTTCCGCCTCTTCGACGACGACAACACGGGGAAGATTTCGATAAAGAATTTGCGGCGAGTGGCTCGCGAGTTGGTGCGAAAAAATTGGATTTTGCGGAAATAAAGCGACAAAGTGGCGCAAATTGTTGAATTATTTCCATATTAATGCATTATTGAAGCAAAAATAAACAAAAATATACTCTAATGGCCTCTCGGGAACTGAAACTGAAACTTGAATTGAACGCCGGTGGCCGCGCTGAGGTGTACGTACACCGCAGCGCGCGCCGCGCGTGCGTTCCTTCGGGCTTGCGTTCTCTTTGCACGAATCAAAAGTTAAAAACAAACAAACAAATAAATAAATAAATAAATAAATAAATAAATGTTTTTGTCAATTTGGGTCTTTTCCAGGGAGAAGATCTGCCAGACGAAGAGCTGCAGGCGATGATCGACGAATTCGACCGAGACATGGACGGCGAAAGTGAGTTGGGAAAGAATTCGAAAATAACTCCAGAGTTTGAAATTTCTCTTTTAAATTAAAATTCATTTTTGTTATTTTGAGTTTAAATGCAGTTCATCTCCTTTTTTCTCGAGTCGGAATTCGCTTTCCCTCTTTTCTGTTTATTCAAGGGCTAGAGTTTCCGCCTTTTGAAGTGTATACACTCTTTTAGGGTTTAGGGTTTGGTTTGTGTCTGCAGTCAGCAAAGAGGAGTTCATGGCGATAATGAAACAGACCAGCCTCTACCAATAGATTTATATTTCTCTTTGCGGCTTTCCCCATTTGCTGCTTCTGCTTCTTGCCTCTTCTGCGGTGTACGTACACCTCAACTTAGCTTGCTGCCTCTTGCTGCGGTGTACGTACACCTGGGGACTCTGCGGGCGCTAAACTTCGCCTGTCTAGCTGCTCATCTGCAGCAGCTGCTGCTGCTGCGGCTGCCGTTGCTGCTGCGGCCGCAATTGCTGCTGCTGCTGCTGCTGCGAGCAGCAGCAACGAGGGATGAATATGGACCTTTGGAGACAGTCGATTTTTCGAATTGCTGCAACTTCTGTTATTTCTTCTTATTTTGGATTTGAAAAACTAAAAAGTGGCTTCGAAGGACCTAAACCCTAAATTAGAGTCCCAAACCCTAAATTAGGGTTTGCGCGAGGCCTGCGCGAACTTCTCGCGTTAGTCTGTCCCGAAACAAAACCCAAAACTTGCAAACAAATGAGGCGCATGCAAGGCATGCAGCAAAAGCCCCGAGGGAGCTGCAGCAGCAGCAGCAGCCCGCGCTGCTGCTGCTGCTGCTGTTGCTGCTGCTGCACCTGACGTAGCTGCCGTTGCAGCTGTGGCACCTGCAGGTGCTGCTGCAGCTGCTGCTGCAGCAGCGCCCTTCGCCGCTGCAGCAGCAGCTGCTGCTGCTGCTGCAGCTACTGCTGCTGCTGCTGCTGCTGCAGCAGCGCAAATGGTAATAACTGCTGCATGCAAAGGCCTGGCTGGCTGGCGTGCGATCCCGCTGCTGTACATACACCGCAAAGCACCTGCTGCGCCGCCACTGCGACACAATTAATTATAAAAAATTAAATTAAAAAGCAAATTTATTTATTTATTTATTAAGATTTGCTGCGGCTGTGCTGCAGCACGATACCTGCCTTGCAGGAACAAGCGCACGCAAACCCTAAACCCTAAACCCTAAACCCTAGGCGGCTGGGAGGCCGTGGGCAGCCGGCCGGTTTGCTGCTGGGGGCGCGTGCGGGCGCGGGCTGGGGGCGGGGCGGAAACCCGAAAAGAGGGTTTGGCGGGCAAACCCTAAACCCTAAATTGGCGGTTAAGCTCGAAGAGCGCGGAAAAAGGCAGCAAGACGGAAGTGAGGAAGGCGGTGGTGAGCAAGTAAAGACACAGACAGGCCCACTGCATGCAGCGGACCTCCACTTCGTAAAAGTCTGCTGCTGCTGCTGCTGCTGCTGCTGCAGCAAAGGGCCGCGGCACCAGACACAAAGACCCCCGCGGGTGCAAAATGGAAATGGTGAAGAGCGCGCAGTGCAGACACAGCAGCACGCCGAAGGTGGCGGCCTGCAGCAGCGGCGCGGCGAAGCCAATGAGGCTGCGGGGGAAGGGGGCGGCGGCGAGGGCTTTGAGGCTGCAGGCGGAGTCGCCCAGGCTGTTGAAGATCGCCTCCCAGATGTGCGCAATCGCCGCGATCCCCGCCCCGCTCACTTCCGCCGCCTCCATGCTGCACTGGCGCTTCAAACTCCGCGAAAAACTCCGAGAAAAATACCAAAAACTCCGAAATCCGCGCGGGAACACCGGAGATCGCGCGACTGCCCGCAGCCCAACCTGCTGCCAGCCCGCCAACAGCTGCGCATTGAAACCGAAACTCCCCAACTTCCGCTTCCTTCCAACCTAATTTGACCTGATTTCACTCGCTAAAACGCTAAAACTCTAAAAATGAAGCCCCTCTCCCTCCAAACCAGCGCGGAGGAATCACACCGGCGTCCAGTGCAGCCAATCGCGGTGTACGTACACCGCGACTTGAACCTGCCAACAGACGAACAGATTCATACTGACCCTTTGTTTTCAAAGGAAACAAAAGGAATATTCCTGAAGAACTACTTTTTGCATGCAGAAGCAGACGCCCGTCGCAATCTATCGCCCGAAGTTGCTTGCGCAGCCGCCTAGGCACAGTCCTGGTCTGCTGGCTGCGCGCAGAACGCCGCGAAACAATAGCCCGAAACTCTCCTTCTTTCGCGTCAAATTTGCAACTATTAATTATTATTTATTTATTTAAATCCCCTAAAAGAGATTTGCGGGACACTTGCGCTCCAGAGGCGGCCACGAGCCCTTCTTGTGCTGCATGCACCCTACGACGCTCGTCACACTCTGAGGCAACAATTCCTGAATTTCTTGAATTTCGAAACTTCTCATTTAGCTGCACTGCAGTGGCCTTCTAGTTTATTTTTGAGCACTTTTATAAGTAAAGGGAACTTCCTTATGCGCAGCAACGGTCGAAATATGGGCGAAAGAGGAGTTCTTGAAATAAATCAATTACCACAAAAGGCTTGTCTCAGCTCACAGCATGTGTCTAGAAAGTGCAGCGCAGCTGTCTAGCCAACAGCAGCAGCAGCGGAGAAGCTCTTTGTGGTTTGCTGGTTGCTGTTAGCCGTGAGGTGTATCGACAGTCCCCACGAGTCACTCCACAAAAACGCAATTTTAAACAAACAGTTAAACTAAACAGCGGGCACTTTGAGGAGTCCCCTAAGTGCGGGACAGTGGCCTATGCAGAAGCAAAGAAATGCGCATTTACTAATTCGGAAGCCTTAGAAACTAAATCTGAAGCCTTAGACACTAAGGCTGGAGTCTTACTAGAGTTTGCCTGTTGGAGTTGGCAGCTGTCAGTCCAATCCGACGTTCCTCTGATGGCCTCAATCTTTTTTAAAACATTTTGCTGATAGAGTCAGTGTCAAAAGCAGCAGAAATTTGACCAAAGCTGCAGCACTGCAGCACCTGGGGGAGCGGTCTGCACGGGGGAGAACTTTGCTTGGCCCTGTGGGACAGCAGCAGAGCCTCACCGTGTCAAGAAGCAGCTCAGCTGCTGAATTAAATTCCTCACCAGCGCAGGAAACCGCAGCCAGACTTTTGCATAGTGTACCACAAGTCCCGCTGCAGATAGCAACGCATTTGCGTGCTGCAGCGGTTGTTGCTTCCGCGCATGCGGTGTGTGTCGCAGTTGCTGCTGCTGCTGCAGCAGCTGCCATTAATGTTGCACTTACCACTGCGGCTGAACTTACGTTCATTATGTGCTGCGGTTGCTGCAGCTCTTGCAGCCAAGCACTTCGCTGCTTCTGTTGCTGCAGTTGCTGCTGCTCTCGCGTTTGCTGTTTTGGTTGTAGTTGCTCTCAATGCTCTGGTTTTTGCTGCTACTGCCGCCCAATGTGTCTGCCGTGATGTTGTAGTTGCTCCTGTTGCTCCTGCATTTGCTGTTACTTGAGATGTTGCCTCTTCTGCTGCCCCGTGCTGCGTTTCTCGCTTGAACTGGTGGTTTAGTGATAGCCTAAGAGTCAATTGATTCTCTAACATAAGCGACGAATAAAATGTGGCGCCAATTGTCTAGAGGTATTATTATGCCTAGCTCTGCCCGACAGCAGATGGAATATTTTTGCCCGAGGTTCAGATATTACTGAGAAAGCCAATGTCTCGTGGCTCCTGCTTCAGGACCAGAAGTGTGCTGCGCAGCGACACAGCCACATGGAACCAAAAGAAGCCCAAAGACTTCAGGGTTCGGCATTTTAAAATGTGTAGATTGACGTAATAAATGCATCTCGTATACACAGAAACAGACTTAGTTAGCCTTAGTTCTCAGGCTATTGGGCCCGCTGTACTCCGCATATACAGAAAAGAGCTGAGACTTGAAAGAAGCACTGTGGCTGCAGCTCCTCGCATGTCCACGCAGTGAAAAGGTAACAGTGGCTACGTTCAGCTCGGCTCCTACGTCTCTCTGCTGTTTCGCTGCGTCTGCTCATAATCCTCACTCCCAAATGTAGACATTATTGAGAAAAGAAATTCAATGAACATTCTTGTAAGTCCCCATTTCCTGAAGTGCATGTTCCTTCTCCCGTTGTTTCGTTGAGTGGGCGCGCGGCACACAGCAGCTTCAGGGCCTTTTGCCGGCGCCGCTCTCTGCCCCTAGCTGCAGAGCATGCCAGGAGTTAATCCACGAGGACTGATCCCTTTTTGTTTTTGATTATTTTTATTCGTTACGCGATTCTGCACATTCTGAATTATACGACCCTGAAGGCTCGAACTGTGTCGCAGTGTACCACAGCGCTCTACAATATCTCTAGGGAACTGGAAACACAGGGAATTTGTGGGAGCTAGAGAAGCCTCAGTCTTCGTACATGCATTGAAGTTGATTTACTAGACGCACACTAGCAAAGCGAAGTTTTTCCACAAGCTTCCACGTCCTTGCATGGCCGGTGGATTGTGGTCTTACAGATTATGGCCTACGAGTCTTTAAAGTTCGTTATGCTCGACAAATGAGATAGTACGTGGCCTGTAGAAAAGAGAATCATTGGGACCCCTCCTCTTCGTTCAATTTAGACATTGAAAAATGACAGTGTTGCCGTAAGAAGACCCCCTTAGGACCTGAAATAGTCAGGGCAAATTGCATGAAGGATATAAACGGGGCTGCTTCGTATTATCACATAAGTTTTCGCTGGAGAACGCTGAAGATATTTGCAAGGCATTATAACCACAAAAAGCGCTAATATATTCTCCATAAAGTCTCTACAGTGCTTATAGTTCATTTGGCTGCTGCTGTTGATGCTTGCGAGAATATTTGACCCCGAGTTACTCTATTTCACGTAGGCTTACAGGAATACTTGAGTGTCAAAAGAAGTTTTTGTCGAGGATCTATCTCGGCATGCGACTACCTAGACTCCCTAGATTAAAAAAGCCCGGAGTATAGAACCAGTGGCTGTGGTGGCCTGTTTTGACTCTAAGATGGAAGCAGCAGCGTAGTAGATGCTAAAGGCAGTGTAGCGCGGCTTCAGAATGACTAAAGAGTACCGCTGGAGCCTCAAGAGCTTCGAGTTTATGTTCGATATATGAAAGGCCAGAGCCCTGTCGAAGCTACCCTACAAAAAGAGTAAAAGCAAAGAAGTTTAACAATTAATTATCAAAGAGAAAACACTATTGGAGCAGGTGACCCTTATGAATGTATGGTCTTGAGGCAACCTATAGAATACTGGAGTGTTGTTCAATGGACCCTGAGCCCACAAACATTGGGAAATGAGCGCTATCAGAATTCTCTGTGAGAAAACAAAACAGCCACTGTTGCTATCCCGCTGCGTGTTGACTTGAGAGCGAAAAGATCTAAATGTCTACAACAGAGCTGCACACTATTCTTTTTAGAATATTCACCCAAATGGCACTGAGGCCCAGGGAAAAGGCAAGCCGTCTCAGAGTCTCTGTATGGCACTAAAGTCCTGAGTTTATTGCCCTACCCTCTTCGAGATCTTGGCTGTGGCTACGCAAGAAAACAAGTTTTGGCCTTAACTTCTGAGGTAATGCATAGAGCTGCGAAACTCCTCAACAAACACACAACTGGGCCGGGGCTGCTAAGCCCCTGGGCCCCCCTGCGATCTCTTAGCACTTAAGAATGGGCACTGAGAGTGGGGGAGGCCGTTGGCTCTTTTAAAGTAATTCTTTCTTGCTATTCTGAAGCCCCACTGTCTTCAGTTCCGGGGCGGGGCAGAGCCTCTGAGCGAAGCCCAGTGCAATATTTAGGAGTACTAACTCAATATTGACTCTTTTAAATGGACTTATTGCTGTTAATGTGGCAAATGTGAAGCGCCAAACAATGGAAAGCTGGTCCGTTACCACGGCCGGCCACAGCGCGCCGGGGGAGAGGATCTGTTGGCGAAAGTGAGGGAGGGCCAAACAATTCTTGAAAAATAAATGCGAATTAAAGTTAATAAGCAATTAATCTGCAGCGTTTAGTGCAACTGTGCAGGGCAAGACTGCGAAAGCCGAAGTGCTGAAGACCGCAGGTGCTTCTTGCGTATGTTTCTGTGCCATAGTGGTTTCATTGTACGCGGCGCAGAGGGAAAGCAGGAGGCTGTTGTTTTGCATGGAGTGACCGCAAAAGAGTATTTTCGTTTCAGGAAAAATGCAAAGAAAAGGAGAAAGATTCAATTTGGCATCCGCGAGGAAGGCGAGTCGATGCCTCACCGGTGTTTCAGAGTATCGATGCCAGGCCGTATAGACACTTGAACGCGCAGTTTTTGTCGGCGACGAGGCGGTACGAGCAGTAAAATTGACTTCATTTATGTTTCTTCGTAAATATCATGGATTTTGGAGGTGGCTTTCTGGCGGAAATAGCGAGGAAACCGCAGCAGCTTCCCCAGGCGCTCGTTGCCGAGTGTGCACCGACTGATCGCCGCGCCCACGACTTCCCTCGGAATGCACCATCCCTGAGTTTTTTTTTAACTTAATTTCGCATTTCGGGCTGTAGAACTCTTGGGCTGATGGTGCGGGCTGCGAGGCGAAGGCGGAGGAGAAGAGCCGTGGCTCCCGCGCTGCTGTGGGTTCTGGGCTGCGTTTGCAATTTGGCTTTCCCGCGACTCTGCGTGGCTGCTGCGGACTTGCCCGAGACCAACACTCTGGAGCATTTGTTTATCCCCACGGACTCAGCAGCAGCAACAGCAGCAGAAACGGCGGACATCTTTACTTTCCAGAACGAATTCGACGAAGAGCCCGCGCTCTTTCCCCGCGATCCCGCCGCTGCCCCCGCGGCCGCAGCGCTGCCGGGGGGCCGGGCTGCTGCTGCTGCTCTTGCGGGCCGCTCCGGCGCTGCAGCAGCAGCAGCAGGCGCTCCCGTGTCTGCTGCTGCTGCAGCAGGCGCCGGGCGGCGGGCCCGGGGCTTCTCCCGGCCCCGCGGGCGCTCGCGGCGGAGTCTGTCTCTGGGGCTGCTGGCTTGTCTCGCGTTGGCGGTGTCGGCAGCAGCATTTGGGCGGTCCCCGCTGCTGCTGCTGCAGCAGCAGCAGCAGCAGCAGCAGGCGTGGGAAAGGCGCGACGCAGCTCTTGCTGCAGCCCTCGGCCGCCTCGAAGCCCTCCGAGCCCTCGAGCCCGTAGTGAGCAGCCTGGCAGCAGCCGTGGACAGCCCGGAGGCGCAGCAGCTGCTGCTGCTGTACCAGCAGCAAGTGGAGGCGCCTGCTGCAGCAGCAGCAGCGGGGGAAGCAGCAGCAGCGCCGGAACTGGCCGCCGCTGCAGCAGAAGCAGCAGCAGAAGAGGCCCTCAGCCTGCTGCGGCTGCTGCACGACGCAGCCGTGCAAGAAGCCAGCCTGCTGGAGGCCAGCCAGCGGGAATTCCATGGCTGCTTTTTGGAAACTTGGGAAGAAAAAATAATTGAACAAGTAGCAGCAAATCAACAAGCTGAAGCAGAGACAGGGCCTTTTGTGCAGACTCTGAAGTCCCTGCAGGAGAGCGAGCAGCAGCTGCAGCGGCAGTTCCAGCTGGCGCGGCAGCAGCTGCTGCAGCAGCAGGAGTTCGGCGACGAGCAGCAGTGGCCGCTGCTGGCCGCAGCAGCAGCAGACCTCGCCTGCATGAAGCGCGCTGCTGCAGCGCGGGCCGAAGCAGCAGCAGCAGCAGCAGAAGTCAAACGCAACATCACAGAGACTGTGCGGGCGCTGCTGGCAGCCAGGAGGGACAAGTTCGCAAGACAAGCTGAGGGGGACTTGGACTTGCTGGACGGGTACATGCACTTGCTGCAGCAGCAGCAGCTGCTGCAGCGGGAGGGCGAGCCCCGCGGCGCCCCCGCAGCAGCAGCAGCAGCAGCAGCAGCAGCAGCAGAGGGCCCCGAGGAGCGGGAGCTGGCCCTGGAAAAGGCCCAGGACTTGTTCTTGAATGCCTCGCAGCTGCTGACTCTGCACGAAAGGTCTCTGGCGGATTTGGGGGTTGCGGGGAACTTGGGGCGGCTGCTGGAGCTAGCCACGCTAGCTGCAGCACAAGAGCCAGTGATAGCTAGCTACTTAGACGAGTGCTGGGGCAGTTTGCTGCAGCTGCCAGCCCCCTGCGAGGCCCTCGAAGCAGCAAAGCTGCAGCGGCTAGCCATAGCAGCTAGCCGTGTGGGGCTGCGCAGCGCGCCTTACAAGGCCCAGGTGCGCAGCATATTGGCGGAGGCCAAGGGCAACGCAGCGCCGCTGCGGCGGGGCTGCTGCAGCAGCAGCAGCAGCAGCAGCAGCAGCAGCAGCGGGGGGGGGCTCTTGAGCCGCGAGGTGACCCTGGGGGCCCTGGAGGACCTGCTGCTGCGGGTCGACGACGCAGAGGCCCTCATAGGGGCCCTCGAAGTGGGGCTTGCTGCTGCTGCTGAGAGGGGGGGCCCCGGGCAGCAAATTCTTAAGGATTTGGAACACAGCAAAAAGGCCCTGGGCGCGCTCATAGAAGCCAGCCACAGCCTGGCGAGGCAAATTGCCCGCCAGAGGCTCACTGGGCTTCTGGAGCAGCAAGTCGAAGACATAGACTCCCGCGTGCATGCAGCCAGCTTGCTGCTGCAGCAAAGTGCTGCTGCGCTGCAGCTGCATGCGCAGTACCTCCGCGCCCGCAAGGAGCTGCAGCTCGCCAAAACCCTCTGGGACGCAGCAGCAGCAGCAGCAGCAATGCGCTCGCTCGCCGACACCATCGAGTTCGAGGCTTACAAGCTCCAAAGGGGGGGGCTTTCCACTTAACTTTAATTCAATTCCAATTCTAATTCCAATTCTAACTCCAACTCCAATTATTATTCCAATCCAACTCGCAAACTCCAACGAAGCCACTCTCCCGGGACAACAGGGCTTGCCAGGGCTTTTGCACGGTGGGCGCGGCCTGCTGTTTTGCCAGCAACAGGAGCGGCGACCTGCAGCCGCAGCAGCAGCAGCAGCAGCAGCAGCGGCAGCAGCAGCAGCAGCAGCAGCGGGACTTGAAGAAGCCGTCAGAGCCGGCAAACGCCTGCTGCCTGGGCGGCACGCAATTGTCACCTTTCATCTCGGCTACAGATCAGCTGCTTCCTTCCGTTTTTTGGTTTGCTGCTCCTTCTTTGTGCTGCTAAGACTTGCTGCTTTTCTGTTTCTGGCTCTTTGCTGCACTTCTTTCGGACTCTTCTTGCTTCGCAAGGGCCCCTTGACTGTGCCGTTCCCCGAGCCTCGCCAGGGGCCCCCCGGCTTCAGCTATTTGGAAGCTGGAGGGGCCCCTGCGAAGCGTGCAAGTGTGATATAGGCTGTATGGACAGACAGTGCAGACGTCTGCTGCAGCAGCTGCAGCAGCTGCAGCAGCAGCAACTGCAGCGTCAGCAGCAGCTGGCTGTTGATGTGAGCTGTTATCTGCGCACTCCTAAATAGGACATGCTGGCGGCACCTGCTCGGCGCTCAGTCCCAGAAACTCTACCAGCCCAAACTCTGGATCTTTTCAGATTTAGAGCTTGTTTCCTAATCCATTTGGACTCCCCACCCCGCAGCCACTGCCACGCAGTTTAGATCGCGCTTTCCGTCTTTTTTGCATCCTAATTTTGTTGAATGGCATTAAGTAGAGGAGCAGTTTGCCACTAAGTGCTGAGATCACTGCGGGGCCGCTGCCTCGTTGGCTCAGGAATGCATGCGCTGCGGCTCAGAGGTGCTTCTTCAACAGAACTGTTCAAGTTCAGCTTTCTAGATGCGTCGCCGTTTGTTTATTTGCAATTCAAAAGTATAAAATAAAAGAAAATACACCCCTAATTCTTCAACAGTTGTGGCGAAAGCTGCTACTAACTAGCCTGCGAGCTGGAGGTCTTGTATTGCACAAACTGGAAATTGGGCCGGAGGTCTGAAACGCATGCAGACACAAACACTGCTAAGGGCAAAAGCTGCACTGGGAAGGCCATTAAAGGGACGATATTAAAGACATCCGTCTGTGCTTTCTCTTGTTTTACACTTTTGAAGTGCAAATAATCAAACGGCGACGCATCTAGAAAGCTAAACTTGAATAGTTCCGTTGAACAAGCACCTCTGATCCGCAGTGCATGCATAGAAGATATTAAAGACATCTGTCACAAGAAAGCAGAACTGAGAGATTCCTCTGAGAGGAAAACAAGTACTTGTCGCTAGCCAAAGCACATATGCCTATCCATAAGTCCCTAAGTAGAATTGTCAATCTGGATTGCTGCTGCTGCGCTGCTGCAGGTGCAGAAACTTGAAAATCGGAAAGCTGCAGCAGCCAGTGCTCCACTCGCTGCTCGGGCGGCCTCAACAGACTTCCCTTATTTTTGAATTTCTAGAAGAACCGAAATCAGCGGGTCAGCTGAAAGCTCTTTACAGGTGACAGGCGGAAGCCACAAGTACAGCAGTAACTTCACAAAGTTACCAAGTGGGCTTAAAAGTCTCTAAGTAACAAGCAGTCGGCGAGGCTATTGCGCGGTGATGTATCTTTCTATTCGAAATGAACTGGAAAGCATTACTTGGCTCTGGTGATTGGCTTCTTAGCCTCAGGAAAGCTCGCATGCAAGTACATGTGATTTCCATTCCACTGAGACTCCTTTTTTCGCATTCTTGCGACCATCTACACTTTTATTTGTCTATTTGAAGTGCTTTTAACCCCTTCGAGCTACTTCTTTTGTGAACATCTGCAAGCTGCTTGGCAAGAAACACTGAGTGGCGGTCAATGCAAAACGAAATGAGACGAGCTCATAGCGGCCAAGTCCAGCCGCTGAAACTTCCGAGAGCCTTCTAGCGTCTGGGCTACGCGGAAGGCTGTCGAGCGCCGCATGCACTAAGTGAGGAAGCTGCAGCACTGCGAGAAAGCTCTCAAGCCCTGCATGCATGCAGGAAGGAAGCAGCACGGAATCTGAAGACCAGCAAACGCTGGGGCTTGCGCTCTAGAGGAAAGCCATTTCCCAAGTTTCATCTTTGAACAAAAAGACACCAATTACTTTAGCTGCGCCTCCCCGTTCCTCTTCGCGCAAGGGGGCACAGCCTGCCTGAGTGCGCGGGCATGCACTCGAGTTGCACAGCAACTGAGACGAAGTAGTGCAATTAAAGGAGCGAATGAAGAGAATAATGGAATTAAAGAAGAGAATTGAAGAGAAGAATGCAACTAAAGAAGAAATGGAAACGGAACTCCAGCGAAGGAGCTCACGGCTCGCCCTTCGCCTGCTCCGACTGCAGCTTTTCGCAGTCCTTCCTGCGGCGCTGCGCCAGAGTGTCGCGCATGGAAGCCGCAGCGAAGCGCGCTGCGGAAACGAGGTCTTCTGCGTCTACGACGGACTCTGCGCTGCCGAGCATTTCCATCATTTCTTTGAACTGTTTGTGATCTCCTTGCATGTATTCAGCTTCCCGGGAGTCGGGATCGAAGGCGTGAGCGGCGTAGTAAGCTGCTGCTGCTGCCAAGTGCTGCGCGTCCTTGTCCAGCGCCCTCACCAGCTCCCCCTCCAGCAGCAGCAGCTGCGCCTCTTCTTTTTTCCGCGCCAACTCCACGGAAAGCTCTGCCAGCCGCTGCAGACTGTTCAGTGCAGCCTCTGGCCTTTGCACTGAGGGCAGCGCCTGCATGAGGCTTTCAGTTTGCTGCAGCGAGCTTTCCATTTGGCTCGAGATTTCCCCCAGCCTGCTCATCAGTGCTGCGGAAATCGAGGAACCCACGTGCTGCAGCTTGCTCTTGAACCCGCCCCCGCCGCTGCTGCTGCTGCTGCTGCTGCTGCTGCTGCTGCTGCTGCTGCTGGTGAGGCGTTGGATGCTGTCGCGTGCGCCTTCGAGGGCGCTGCGCACGGCCGCGGCGCCGGCGAGGATGTTCTGGTGGTGGCGCTGCGCCTCCGCTGCAATGGACCTTTCGCTGCTGCTGCTGCTGCTGCTGCTGCTGCTGCTGCTGCTGCTGCTGCTGCTTTGGATTCGGGCTGGAAGCGGGGGCAGCAACTGGGCCTCGTTCTTCAGGTTTCCAAGAAGGCTGCGGGCCCGTTCTGCTGCTGCTTCCAGCTGCTCACTGGCGAGCGAAATCTCCTTCATTGTGGCGCTGCTGCGGACTTGTTCGACGTCGGCGCGCAGCTGCTTCAGCAGCGCCTCGAGCTCTGCGGAAATTTCCTCCATGCGCTGGAAAGCAGGTTTTGCTGCAGCAGCAGGTTTTGCTGCAGCAGCAGGTTTTGCTGCTGCTGCTTCCTGGGCCAGCTGCTTGGTGATGTTCAGCAGCCGCAGCTCCGCCTCCACCTGCTGCAGCACCTCCTCCCCCCGCCGCAGCTTCACGATCCGCATGCTGTCGTAAGCCCGGTCTCGAACTGGAACCGCCAGAGCTTGCAAATGCTCCAAAGACCCCACAATGTGCGACAGCAACTCGAGATCAGCAGCAGCAGCAGCGAGGGCGGGTGCGTCGGCCTCGGTGCGGAACTTCTGAGCTGTCTGTACACCGTGGCTCACCTCCGCGAAACTCGACTGCAGCTGCGCCGCCGCCTCCCCCAGCGAGCGATGCAGCTTCAGGAAAGTGAGCGCTGCGTCATTGCCTTCGAGTTCGTCTGCCACGTCGATCACTTCGAGTTCTTTTCCGGAGTTCTGGGGGGGCGGCTCGCGCACCTCGAGCTCGGGGAAGGAGCCCTGCTGCTGCTCCTGCTGCTGCGCGAGAGCAGCAGCGCGAGCCACTGCGAGGCTTTGCAAGCTGCTCAGCGCAGATAACAGGATTTCCGCTCCAGCTTCCAACTCTTTCGGATGCACAGTCACTCCTGGCTGCGGCACGAGGGCCTCGGCGACCTGCAGCAGCTCCTTCGCCTCTTCCGTGCCCAGCGCTGCGGCCAAACGCGCTGCTGCGGGCAGCACCTGCTGCATCGCCTCCACGCGCCGCTGCTGCTGCTGATCTCCAGCCCCCCCCGCAGACTCAGCTTCTCCGTAAGCTGCTGCGTCGGAACTCGGCAAAGTCGGGGCTAGAAACTTGCTGTCTTCCGGCGGGACCTGGGGTGTATCGCTTGCGAACGCGCCGCGGGTGAACACCAAAGTGACCATGGACACGAACAAGAGCCGCGACAGCCCCAGACGCCGCTGCAAAGTGTACCTTAAAGCGGAACCCGCACAGCAAAGAACATTTTGCGGATTTGCTGCGGCTTTCCTGTGCAAAGATCTGCCGCGGGCGGCCTGTCCTGCGCGCCCTGCGGCGGCCTCGGCTGCAGTCGTGGCTCGAGTCGGTGCCGGCATCTCTGTGGGCTCCTTCCACTTTTGCAGATCCCTGAGAACCTCTGGGAAAATCTGAAAAGCTATTTGTAGCCCGATGGGAATGACCTATGGGGGATGAGGCGGAGGCGCTGGACGAGGCCGCCGCTACCTTGGGGTGGTTGGTTGGAACAAAAAGACCACAACACCTAGACACTGTGGACTGCCTGCACAAACTTAGCAGGGATGGAGGTAAAAAGTCAAAAAAAAAACCGAGGCCAGAGGCAAATTTATATTAAAGCAAAGTTCTCGAAACAGAATTAGAAATAAGAAAACGACGCCGAGACAACTTCGGTCTCAACCTGAGACGCCACGAGCGGTCTGGCGGGGAGTCTTTCACAAGCTACGCATCAAAACGAAAATTAATGTTTGCCAAAGCACCAATTCAGCCATTAGTTTTTCACTCCTGTAATTAAAGTGAAGAACGCTGAGGCTTGCCAGCGATCTTAGCCACCAGTGAGAGCAGCTGCGGAGGCGCAAGGACCGCCAGGGGGGCGCCCCCCTCCTTGCACACAGACGCGCCGCAAACAGGTACAAAAAGAATGTGCGTTTTAACACATGTTTACGTGAGACAGAATTCTAATTTTGTTTTCTGCGAAATCCAAATTCTAGGTAGCGTAATTCGGCAAGCTGTGGTTCTCCTGGTGGTTTGTCCGGGCCACACGAAGCTGGTTGGCTTGTTGAATGCACTGCGCGCTGCATTTCTACTTGCAAATTGCACCCATTTCTACTGCAATTTGATCATATTGTATTAATTTTCAAAATCTTGGCTCTTCTCCATCAAGATCGCTGCTTCTTGCCCTGTCGCTTTCTCTGGGACAGCGCTGGCGGCTAAGCTGTGTCGTCACCGCCAGCACACCCCCGTGGAATAGTGCTAGTTGAATTATTCAGAATTCTTGAAAGGCTCCAATGACTGCAAAACTTTTGGATAAGTTTCTTTGTCCATATCAGCATATTTCTCCGGGCCTTCTTGCCGTTCCTTAGGGGCAACTAAACGTTGGCACACCTTGAAGATTGGCTTGCTCTGCTTGGTATGGGGGGGCGGTTTAGCCTTCTTTTGCCCAGATTACTATCTGAAGCCATTACAAAGCATGTTACTGTAGTTTTAGGCTGTAGATGAAGAATTCACAAGCGGCTAAACTCCAGCACGTGGGCAACGAAGCATACGAACACAGGAGAATCCTTTAGGAAAACCGGGCCGACCAGAAAAAGAGTCAAGACTGGCCAGCCAGGCAAAGTTAAGTAAAGGCTGAAGGACAACGAGGTAGTTGGGCCTCGTTGTGGAGAGTCTGTAAAACCTTTTGTTTCCGATTGTTGCATATTCAGCTTTCCTCAAAGAAGATCCATTGGTGCCTCTCTAGCTGCTCCGCGGTGACCGGTCCACAGGGATGCCCGAAAGACAACATTTAAACGGATTCCTTTTGAACAAGATTGTAGTAGTCCTCCAAAACAGCATTGTAGCAAAAGGTTGGGAGGTCCTTCAGCTCCCTCACGCAATCGCCTTCACAGCCTTCCGCGAAGCTGCACTGCCTCCGAAGAAAGGGTAATTGTAACAAGAAAAGACTTGCTATTCCCTGCAGTGAAGACTTTCTCGGAGTCGCGAATATCCTAGTCATCCCTTATATTAACAGTAAACAGAGGTGAACTTCCCAGTCCACGAGGATTACCCACAGCTCTTGATCAACTGGCTTTTTCGAGAAGAATCCCTTTGAGTTGCGCACGAATGCTTGAGTCTTGTAGCGACAAAGGTTGTGCAGTGCTATTGTTCCCTGCAGTAGCGCAGTTTTATTTATTCCCATTCAAGTCCTAAGAGGATAGGGTTCGTGTGCGACACCTTGAAAGCACAACAATGCACCAAACAACCCTGTTCCACACTTCCAGACTTGTTCTGCGAATACATTGCAGCCTTATGGCATACTTTCTGATCTCTTTATGACTTACTTGAGTTGATGCAACTTTAAATTTGCGTGAGCGCAAGCAAGACGTGTCGTATTTGCAAGCAACGCGACAAAACTACACACTAAGGGGAGTGCTCCCGGGATAACTGCAGTGCTGGCAATGCATCCGTTATTTCCCCGAGTGTGAGTGCCACATTTGCAAATTTCCCAAACAGTTTCTGTGTCTCTGCAACCCAGTAATTGGCTTTGAACAAAGTTCATGTTGTGTCCACGAAATAACAAGCTCCAACAGAGAACACGCCAAGAGCACCGCAAGAGCCGCCTCTTCGGACTTTTGGAGCGCCGGTCCAGGCGATTTTGAAGGAATTTGTAGGTCAACAGGGTGGCTAAATTAAAGCTCCTAAGCGGCGTTAGCTACCCTGTTCTACTGTGAGCTGTTAGCGGTCTTCTGTCTACCGTGGCGGTATGGCGTAGACGATGTCCTCTTCACCTCATACACTTAGACACGAGTTTGACGCTGCCTGCAGTACTATAGTTCACTGTAAAAGCTGCCAAGCTAGGCCACAGTACCCTTATTAGCTAGATGCCCTGAAAGCCCTTGGATATCAGCCTGTACCCTCAACGGGCACTGGGCAACTCTGGTGCCCCGCGGGGGCAACTTCGTCCTGAAATGAAGAAATGACTATAAATATATATTTTTGCGTTCTAGGCTGCTCATGCACTCCTTATTAAGTTTAATTATTCCCTGCTCGGCATCTACAACCCTGCTGCCTCTCCCCATTGGCCCACGCGAGCGCAGCACACGCCTGGCCCCTTACAGTTCTATCTATCCAAACCCTGTTCAGAATCCGCAAACAGCAGACAAAGAAGTGGAGGCCTTTAGGATAAAAGTTGCTGCTTTTGCCCCATCTTGATGCCAAACTCCAGAGTTAGGTACGTGGCGCAACGCGAGCCTGGAGGTAAAGGGCTTCGGCAAAAGTAAATGACCCTAGCGTTGCAAGGATTTTAAAGTGCAATTTCAACTATTTTAAGTAGCGGTTGGCCAACTGCCACCGTGCCGCGAATGCAATCTTCCGATCTTGGCAAGGGACTACTCAATCATTGTCCAGGGATCAGAGGACTATTCAGAATGTTGCAAACTTGTAGTTAAGGATCAAATCTAGCTTTGAATGAGTCCCATAATATCTTTATTCGCTTTTATGGCTGCATGGCATCTTGGCATTAGGAGCTGGACATGTGTAACTGTCTGGCGACGCGATTGCTTTCTTAAGAAATAATTGATCGAGGGGAAACGCATTGTTGGGCTGGCAGAACCCTGAAGCACCAGTAAATTTGTTCATGAGTGCAAAGTCCTAAAGGGCCCAAAAACACTAGCACCTAGCGGCAGCGGCGGTGGCCGTGATAATGATGTGCAAGCTTGTTCAAACAGCACTAAGGCAGTCAGCTAGGAGGAGATTGTAAACTCGCGAGCCCCTCAGGAATGCAAAAGAATCCAGAAAACTATAAAAGGCTCTTTTTCGTGGCTTTCACTACCTTCTGGCGGCACTGGAAAGTCCAGATGTCAAACTGTGAAAAAGCCTTGGGTCAGCCATACAGTGCCCTGCTTAACCGGGGCCATTTGAAGCCTTCGCATCTCCCCAAATGGTTTTTAGTGCGAGACATGATGAGATAATCATCCACCAAGCAGGACATAAGCACTGTCATAGCCGTGTAGCTCCTTTCTCTTAGCATGAGCATTGCCCAGAGAGTGAATTATTCCACAGCTGGTGTTTCCAACTTCATGATTGGACCGCATGTATGCCTGAAGGTTCCAAAGAGCCTTTCGGTCCCTTCAACAATATGATTTAGCGTAGGCTTTTGTTTCTTCCTGTGCCACCTCTGTTTAGCTGAGTTGCCAGCATACTCCTGAGGCATGACTCATGCCCCAAATGCCCCGTGGATTTTATTGTTTCTACCAGTGGCTGATGACAGTACTGCCTACGGCCTATATATGGCAGCTTGAAAAGAAAACTGCAGTAAGGCGACGGAGCATTTAGTGGCTGCGTTAGTAGTGGGGGCTTGGAGTGCCATTGGTCCAGAGTGTGCCACAAACACTGACTCTGGAGAAAAGAATTGGATAAGTCCTAGAAACGCTTCTCAACTGCGATATTATTAATTTTCAGTGCACTAACACTAAAAGGAAGACTGTGAACAACAGTGTAAAACGGCTGGCGCCACCCAGCTGCTTGCGGGAACAGGTTAGCTTCGGGCAGTCGCCTTTGCAGAATCTACGAGGCATGTATTGCACCAAGTTTTCCCCCAGCGTTGACTACTATCATTACTTTATTTAGATTTATATCCAGTTTCCACCCCGCTACAGCCCAAAAGGCTGCAAAGAAAGCGAAAAGGTCTGGAAGCCAGTGAGTAGACCATGTTAACAGGGGCCCCAATGAAGGGCCCCAGAGAGCGACATCGGGTTCGGTTGTAATAGCTCTATCTCAGTTCCCTCAGACTGCATTGCTGAAATACCTTTTAGCTAAACGAAAGAAACTGAAAGCATTGCTGTTGGATGTTCTTGATCTGCGTATGGCAGTAGGCTTGGGAAGCTGTTGTGCTTGTCGGCCGTCGCCCTGTGGAATTGGCTCTGCTCCTTGACCCTGCGTCTTTATGTGTCTCCAAATTATGATTATCAGGCCTGTAACTTGAGCGACTTTACTTACTACCTCCACGAACGTACCATAAGCACACTGGCAAATGCAGCGCTGCTTCGTTCCAGCGGTCTGCCTCAGTTTATGCGCACGTAAGCCTGTGTGAATGCTTCCCTCAAAGCACTAAGTGGCCCAGTTAGAACGGCTCTCTTTATTTTTGGCTTACAGTCTGTGCGCTTTCTCCAAGCTCCCATCGTTTTCGGCAAACTGTGCAGCAAGGTGCGGGTCTGTGGATGTTACAGCAAGCGAAATCAAGAAAAAGCTGCCAGCATCTTGCCTTGCCCCGCCTCCTACTGCAATACAACACCAGCAAGGACTTTTGCGCTCGGGACCTAACATAGCTCGGGTTTCGTTTTCCACGTTTTGCACTCAAAAGGCACCGCAGGTAGGCTACAGGTGCAGAACGAGACCGGCACAGCATGAGTCTACGGCCTCGCATTTGCTTGGTGGTATTTTTCACGCTTTTCAGGTGTATCTTCATCTGGGAAAAAGCAGTGTCTCGTGTTGTCTCGGCGACAAAGGCTCGTTTGCCCCTCAGTTTATTTCTGAAAATCTAGGAGCAGCAGCCGACTCGATTGCAGTTGAGGCTTCCGCTGAGTTCGCGTCTGCTGCGGAGAGGGCAGGAACACCGGAAGTCGTGCAGCCTCGCGCACGGAAAATCCAAAAATTAATTTGGGACTTCCAAAAGCTCTTCACCTCCTACGGTACGTCCGCTTGCGTGTCGCGATGAAAGCCGCTTAGTAACGATTGCTATTTGCGTTAGCATTGTTAACATGGGTCTGCAGATGCACTTCTTTTCGCCGCATGCAAAAGACAAAAGGACAAGCTCAGGCAGGGGTGCCAGCTTTACTTTCTCAGCCTCTTGCCTCAAGGTGCGCGGGCAAGCGTGAGGGTTCGAGGGTTAGAAGTGAGGGTCTAGAGCTACGGGGCCAAGGGTTGGGAGCTGCTTATGGTTCTGATCTTTAGAGAATACGCAGACCAAGCTAGAGCTTCTAGCAAGGAGCGAAGAGCATCACTCTACTTTGAGTAAATAGGCTCTGACAGAAGCACCAAAACGACCAGCGTCAGCTACCATAGCGATAGTATTAATGGAGCTGCGCAAGGGAAATGCTGCGTTAAAACGACAGAGTGATTCGTTTTTGCCTCTTTTTACTGCTTCAGTTATTCTCGCCGCATTCGTAGGAGACAACCCAGCTGTTGTCTTCAACATTGAAGCCGCCACAAGAGAACAGGGATCGGCGGCAAACGTATCGGAAAAAAACGATGGGGAAGCGACTGGCCCTTCTGCGCGCGTGGTTGCGTGGCCTTTTGGGGCACCTGAGGTGTTTAGAAAAAACATTGAACTTCAGAAACTCGGCAGCGACAAAAATGTAAGTGCGCAGCTCTAGTGCCAGCAAGCCCTCCATCGTAGCCAGAAAGCGCCTCTTGGGATCTAGTGCAGCTATTCCCAAGCATGCTTCAGGCTCCCGTGCTTTTTATTTGTTACCCTTGATGCATTGCGTGCAGAAACATCCTATTCCCCTAACTAAGGCCTTCGGCTCGTTCTACCTGAAGGCAAGCCCAGCAGTTGACGCGGGAGTCAGAGTCTTCTAATCCATGCGTTTTCTTCCTTAAGCACTCTTACTCTCTGTGTTTGCAGTATTGCTCCGCTGTTCAGGATGAAAAGCTACACAATTCGTTGTCTCCAGAGCCGTCAAAGGCTCCCTTCACTCCTATGGCATCCTGCCTTCCGGTAAAGCTGTAGTTTGTGCGACTTCGAGAGCGCAACACTTGCTTTGTACTGCTGCCGGCAACTCTTTTTGTTTTTAACTAGTTACGTAGTTGCTACTTAGGCGGAGGCGCAGCCGAAAAAAATGAATTCCGTCGAGCTCCCAAGTATGGGTGTAAAGTCGAGAAAATGGACTGCGTACTTTGTGATTGACGTGCAAGCAGGATTTCGCAGTTCAGCCCCTGCATAAAGACATTGTTGCAGTGGTCTGGGGTAAGCGGCCAGTGGTAAATGTTGCAGCTGTTTCCCGCTGATTTCCTCTTTAGATTCGCTCCAGTGCAGATTCACGAGCTGACGCTGCAGTTTCTGCTGCTGTGCCGGCTACCAGGGACCCCTTCATTTTGGGATGCGCTTTCTATTGATACAGTTGGCTCTCTGCTTTTCGCATTTCTCCAGAGCAGGGACAAACAGGTTGGCTGAACAGCAGTTTGACTCGTTGCAAAGAATTCGTTTACTCCTTTGATCTGCTCTTTAGATCAACAGATCACAAGTGCAAGTGGGAAATGATGAAAAAGAGGCACCCAAGCCTTTTCATCTCACTGGGCTCTCTTGGCAGCCAAAGATTCACATGCAGTGCAAGCTTTGCACTGACTGCTCTTGGTCTCAGCAGATGTATGCTTGCTTGCGCAGGACACAAATGAATCCTTGTCGCTCCATGTGAGCCTCCCCTTCACCCGTGATAATGCCGCCCATCTAGTTTCTCTAGTTCTTCGGACTGCATTTCGGGCCCTCCAATGTCGGTTTTATTGCAGGAGGAAGCCTCGGAGTTTCTGCTACGGAAAGCCATAGTACAGGCTGTCACCAAAAACGAGTAAGCACGCTAGGCAGCATGCGCATTGTTTTCAATGCCGCGATTGTGAAATTCTACGTTTGGAGACAGGAGTTTTCGGCAAGCAAATAGAGCGAGGCAAAATCCTTCGGCAGCGGTCGCCCGAATTCGTCTGTGTCTAGCAGTTTTAAGGCATAGCGGAGCGAAGTCCAAATTCTGTGGAATTATTTTTCCGGCCAGTAGCTGCTTTTTCTCAAATCTTGTTTCAGGGAAGCTGTCGGAGAGCTTCTATACCATCCTGCTGCTCTTCGCGCCGCTGGTTCGTTTGCTCACCTCAGCGCCCGTCTGCCCATTCCCTGGCCGGCATTACACACCGACGCTGAGCTTCCTATTTTTCTGAAGAATAAACAAAGATAGTTTGAGTACAGTTTTCTACTGCGTGCGGCAATACCACACTCAAAAGTAATGGTTAAGAGCATTACTTGAAGAGAGAACCTAAGATCCGCTCGTGGGTCAAACGCTGTGCATTAACGGCCAATACTTCAACTTTCAGGCCTTCCTCACTGGAAAGACAGTCGTCTAGAGATAAAAAGACGAGCTGCCCTAGGCAACAGGAAAGCTGAACTGGAGCTAATGAAGTGGTAAGGGCGCTTTTGTGAGTCTGCAACTTCCTCCACTGGCTAAAGAACTGCCCACGCTCTCTCTAGCACCTAAGATTTACTGTGAGTGTACGCTCAGTGTTGTGGCCGCTCAAGAAGGCCATTTAAACAAAAACGCTCTCGCATTTGCTTTATCTCGTCAGCCGTTTTTTGAATCGGGTGAGCAGCTGGGAATGAGCCGTATCAGGCTTTGGACATGCCTCCACTGTAGTAGAGGACTCCTGTCGGCAATACGTGGGAGAGGACTCCTGTTAGCAATCACTGCTGTACTTTCGAAATGCAAGTGAACACAAGAAAAGTAATGCAATGAGTGTGAATGCTTAATTGTCTGTGTCTCAGACATGGCTGTTTTGGTCCTGCTCCTTTCGCCATCGCAGTAAATCGAGACGAAATAGTCGTGAAGTTGACTGGACATCGAGGCGAAGCAACTCGAACACGAACAGCATTCCAAAGTCATCCAAGCCGAACAGCACCTGGCTGAAAGCGACAAAAGCGATGAAACCAAAGTAGCTACGGAAGCACGCGCTACGCAGACGCATCGCTTTCGTGGGCAGGCGAAGGGAAGCAGAACCAGAACCCCAAAATGGTGGTAGCACCTGCCCACCCTGAATTCCTACAGGGTTCCACCGAATTCCTGTTTGACTTTCCTGTCGATATGTATACCCTCAACTGTCGATGCAGCTTGGATCTAATGAGTCTCTCCGCAAAAAGGCGGCTGAATAGTGACTCTCAAATGATGCAAATGGTACTTCAAACTGGGCCAGAAAAGCAGCGCCGCACCCGTAGTTACTTGACAATACCCGGCTTCTCCTCGGCTGGGGAGGTAAGACGTAGATCAGCGCTGCAGCTTTTTAATGCGGAAAGTGGGCGCCCTATCGCTAGGTTGCGCAGGTGCATTGGGTCGGGACAAGCCAAACGGCACACCATAGAAAATAACAGAATCGGGAAGCTCTAACTCCCACAAAAAACGTTGCCTCGGGCACGCCTGTAGGAAGGGAACCAGCAGCAGACCCGTCTTCGCACTGAGTGCCTGTAGAGCTTTCAGGCGAGAAAATCCAGGTTGCCTGAAGTCAACCTTTTGCGCCGAAAAACTCTCAGAAATTCATGCGAAGAGGATTTCGGAGGTGATCATATATGAACAGGCTGGAAATATGGAAAAGGAAAATCATGGGGAAACGGCGACTAGTAAACCGATATACGGATACCGTGGCCGCGTTCGAATCTTCTTGCGTCCGGTGTTAGACAGCTCATGCGATTTATCCTTTTGGGTGTGAAGTTGACGGTTGCTCGACAATCTTCCCGATGAGTCGCGCGTAAATCAACACACTGCAGTTGATGCAGACTGCTACAGTTGGACGGCGAAGAAGATCGACCGCTGAGCTCATTGTAAAACTGTGAAGGACGCAACTGAAGGCAGTCAAACATGCCCGTATTTTGAACGTTGTAGGTTTGCGGAAGCGGTCACGCAGCTGGCGCAGCACAAAGATAAATACTGCAGGAAGTGTACATTTCATTCGCCACGTAGCACTATCCCTCCACAATGCATCGCTCCATTTGTAGGAACAAAAAGCAGCAAAAAGCCTGGGAAAAACGAATTACGGGAAGTGAACCGCATGGATAAGAAAGTCAGTGCCACGTCTTCTCATAGCATTCAGCGCCCGTCTATATCTTCAAATTATCAGCAATGAGAGCGTCCATTGAACTCAGGAGCTGCCGCATGGCTGACACGTGATCTTCTACTCTCGCCAAAGTATTCGCACATTTCGCATTTTCGCACTCATCATCAAACTGTCGCTTCAGGCGCTGCATTTCTACCTGCGCAGCGGTGTCCGTACCGAAGCAGTAAGCGGATTTTGATGCCGCCTCGTCTTCTTGGAACTTTATGTCTTTCTCCAGCATGCGCAAGAATGTCAACTGTAAGCCCAGCAGCCGCGCCGCGGCTGCTGACTTCGTGAGAGTTACTAAGTGATCCTTCATCTGTACTAGGAGAGTTACTGCATGCGTTGGGTCACTTATACGCTGTAGACTCCCCAAGATTTCTGCAGAGCGGTCTACAGTGCGTGAGGCCTGGGACTCGAGCTCCTGTTTTTCCAATAACATGGTGGTTGTTATCGATCTACTGAGCACATGAGCAGAATCTTTGGGGGAATTGCGTTTCTCCTTCAAGAACTTTTCAACCTTTTTTACGACATCACTTACAAGGCCTTTTATCGCCCTGCTCTCTGCAACGACTTCATCGTGGATTCGTTTCCCCTCATCACAAAGCTGGTCCCTGCTGTTGCCGCTCATCAGAAGCATAGGCGTTCTCAGTCCTTTGAGAGCTTCCCACATTCTTTGAAGTGTGGTATCTGCCTGTTCCATCGCTTTCTCTGCTTGTGTAGCCGCCTGAGATGCTGCCTTCATCGAGCGGCTCCTCTGGAGTTCCTCCAAGTGTGCAAGGAACTCCTCGCGCAGCATTTCTGCCTCTGCCCGCATCCTTTCTATAGAAGCAAATGTACTTTCAAGTTCATCCGACGGATCCGCTTGTTTCGTACTCTCCTCTATCCACGTGGCGGAAATAGTAAGGAGCCCCAAGCTCCCGTCAAACGATTTCAAGGACTGCCGGTGGTCCCGTATCATCAGTACCTTCGTTCCATCTACAGTGGCGTCTCTAAGCATTGTGGCAAGTGACCGAATATGTGACTGCGAGTTGTAGTTCGCCTTGAGGTACTCAAGGACGCCCGCAGCGATGCCGAGCCGATACCTATCAAGTTCATCTTCAAAAGGCGCGCCGCTCAGGAAGTCATCGCTGACTTTACTGAAGCGCCTAGAAAGCTGTTCACTTTTTGTATGAAAAGACCGCAAAGACTGAACTAAACGACACACAGGCTCGTCATTTTCGAGTTCGTCTTCCAGCTGCCTAAGCAGCAGGTCCCTGTCATGCTCCCCAAGACCCATCACTGGGAAACGCGGCAGCCGCCGATACTCCTTAACCAGAGAATTAACTACGTTAATGCCGTCAGCGTCCAGCTGGCGAAGAGACACCAAGGCGCGTGAGAGAGCCTCCTCTTTCTTGCGGTCGTCTGTGCCCGACTCCACAAGCTGCATGTTGCAGCGAACCTCGCCCACCAGCATTCGGGCATACTGTGTTCCGATCGCACTTGCGAGGCTCTCTGCGGAAGGGATAATCTCCTCTAGCCGGGCCTGCCTGCCTTTTATCTCTTCACTACGAGAAATCGCACTCTTGCGACTTTCCCGTGCTCGCTTTTTGTGCTCCGAGAACCTGTCGAACAACTTCGGGCTTTTGGCGAGCGCCAGCGCCCCGAAACTCAGCAGCAGCAGCAGAGAAATACCCACTGATCGTGCCTTCAACTGTTTCAAAAACATTCTTGGCTTCTGGTGGGAGGCTGAAGCCCGCTCTTCCATGGAGACATCGTCTTGCCCCGACTTGGGGGGCTCCTGCCCTGCGGCATTTTCGAAAAGTATGCCTAGATCTTTTCCTCGATCACTATATGCAGGGGTTGCAGTGTCATAAGGTCCATTCCAACGGGGTGTGGTGCTCTGTTCTTGTGTTGCCCACTGGTTGTACGCAAAAGGGGAGGCAGACGCTGCAAATGTCTGCAGAAGATGTGTTGACGGCGACAAGAGGACGACTAAAAGTCTGCACAGCCCTGCATTCACCACCATCTTTATCTGCGAGGCATTAGAAGCATACCAGCAAGAAACACAAAAATTGTGACCAAAACAAGCAGGAAGTGGGGCTCACCAGAAGGCAGCCGTGCGCTGCTCTTCTTAGCCTCAAATCAGACAAAAAGAGCAAAAGTTTCAGTTCACATCTGCTCGCTGGCAAGTCCTATCATCACTTCTAAACTGCAAAGTACCTCGTTGGAATGAGCATGCAAGCCGGAGCTTCTCGATCCTCGGGCAGGACACTAATCTGACCGTTCAGGCGCTCAGCCCGTGCGTTGTGCTGAGCATGTAAACACACCGGCAAAAATTAATGCCACAAATAGCAAAAATAAATAGCACTGAGTAATCAAATTTTTCCCTTCATGTTGCACGTGTCAAATTGCGGCGTTTATTGTTATGCCCCCACACTATCTTTCAGACGTCTTGCAGCTCCCTGCCGCGATCCCCCAGTCAGTGGCAGGCTTCTCATGCGACTTGAATGCAATGTAAAGGGCCATCATCTCCAGATATTTGCGTGCTTTTATTATATAGGTTTTATAGGAAGTGCCTACAGAGCAAGTAGACGCATCATCTTCTGCGGGAGTGCCTGTGAAGTGTGCACGAGACTGATAGATTCCGTTGCCCGCTTGGCCATGCCCTGCAACTGCAGCTATAACGATAGGCAGATCTTGATGAAAATCAATCAGAATTGATAAATGCGAATATAATGACGGCGTAATCTGCAACGGACGCTCTTCCCTGTGCGGATGTTGGAGCTGTTGGCCGCACTATTAGCACCACTTACGGACGCTTCTTATTTCAACAATAGTGCGGCGTAGAGCTGAACTTAGTTATGCGAGAACAGTTACTATAAGCCAACGAGCATGACAAAGCCCCAGGTCAGAAACTGAACAGCGACCTTGTGTACGCTTCTCTGAAAAGCTTAGGTGTACAGAAGATGCTTATTGCGGGCTGTTTCACATCCATAGCTATAGTTGTGGACAGGCGCGACCCCAGGAACTAGAAACATTGCAACATAGCGGACAGGTAATGGCTTTCAACAAATGTCGTGTGGAGGATACACTTGACAGATCCAAGAAGTGCGCTCACCTCTGGTGTGCAAAGGTGCAACATAGCAGTCGGACAGGTAATGGCTTTCAACAAGTATCATGTTTAGGATACACTTCACAGATCCAGCAACTGCACTCACCACTGGTTTGCAAAGCCAGGCTGGGCTCTTCCGTTTCCCTCAGCAGCCTGAAAGCGTCACAAGTAATGTAATTGATGCTTTAGTGGACGGCAACAACCAATATGGAAAAACTGGGAATTTGCAAAGGCACCAGAGTTGGAATCTGTTCTCAACAACTGAGCTACCAGCATGCGAAGATTCCCTGTTTGCTCCATACTCGCTACTTTCCCCAAGTCCTACCCTTCCAGCAGAACATGCAGGGATAGACATCCTAACAGCTGTGCTGTGTTCACCGATTTTCCCACATTTTTGCTTGAATGCGACTGCCCTGCCACTTCTTGTTCCTCCAAGCAGCCTCTGTACCTCATTAGAATGCCTAGCGCTACATTTCGTCCCCCAGTGGGTCCTAGTGATCGTGCCGTACCGTGTTCGTTTCGGTGACGTATCCCACATGTTTGCTCTTAAGCGCTGGCTCTACCAACGCAAAACATTTTCCTCTTTACCCTAGCCCCCGCTCCGTCCTGTGACCCTCTATGAATCCTGCTTGACGGAAACCATTCGATGCTAACACGCCAGTATACTTGGAGGCAGCGCCAATGCTGCCTCCAAAAAAAGTATACTGGCGTGTTAGCATCGATTGGTTTCCGTCAAGCAGGATTCATTGGCGCCCACAGCCATTATTTCATCTCTGTGACAGCGTAGCAATTTCAAGAAGGGGGTTCGACTCCAAAGCGTTCTATAGAGCTCTATTTGTTGCTTCCCCCTCTGCCCCAGTCTGGTCATGCTTACATCACCACTATGCGATCGTGACCACATTTGCAGTCACGATCGCATGGTAGTAACGTAATGTCAGGGAGTATACAATCCTGCGGAGTGCACTAAAAGCGAACTGACCTTGTCAAGAGACTAAGTACGTAGTTGCGAAGGCGCCAGCAAATTTTCCACTACCAAACTCCCACCCTCTAATTTAACACGTGGCAAAGAGCTCTTCAGCTAGCAACAGTAGAATGCAAAAGCCTTGATTTGTGTCCCTCTCCAACAGGAACACTTGGGAAAGCGCTGCCCCGCGTGAACCATTATCCACGATGCAGTACGCACTAGCCCACAGCAACGCTCTACATACTTTGCTAATTGCACAGACTGGCTCCACAAATCCACCAAATTTTAATTCGAAACCTCACATACGGTTTCGTAAGCGCAAGCCGCTCTGCGAGAAACTTTGCACAGGGCGTCGCCGAAGCTCTCGTCCTCTAAATCCTCTGAATCCTCTTCCCCTTGCATACATAAAATTCCGAGGCACCCAAACAGATGAGAGCAATAATAGTGCATATGCCTACCCCTCTAAAGTCCCTCAGATACACACCGGTGAAGCTTCAGAAAAAACAGCATTCACGCATCCCTTTGAAAAGAGCACTTTTGCTTGCTACGAATCCCAATCCGACCGTAAACGTAAAAATTCTAGTAAAGTTTCCAAGCAGTACCAAACAGGGGTGAAGCGAGCAGTGTGTCAAAGTAAATTGCTGCTGGCGAGGGTTGTCTTGCAGCTTCCGCTGTTCCAGCTGCTGCTGATTTTTGTTTGGGGAGTTGTCCCCATTTCTCGTTACCCGTGCCCGTTGCCACTGCGAAGTTGCTGTTCCTGTTGCTGTTACTTCTGCCTCTCTTATTCGTGCCGCTGTTGCTTCACCTCAGCCTCTCCTGCCGCCCCTCCCGCTGCAGAAAGCCGAAGCAAAGCGCGGCGTTAAAGCTTCTTTCAAGCGAGCCGCGTCCGACTTCTGCTTCGTCTCCAATAATTCGTACTTCCAAGATATATTCGTGTTACTTAAAAGTTAAGAAAGATGAAAAGAGGAACACCGGCACGTGTTTGCTCCTCTCACTAGCTCCTATATGAGTTGAAAACATAAAGCGCAGCCCTCTGCTCGCAGCTTATCCCCATTTAATGACGCAGTGATCACGGTACGTTCCCTGTGGCAATCCTATTTCGGTGTCTGTCTCCGCCGAATCTGTCGTAGGACAAAGAAAAACTTTCTCCCTCACATTATGCAGTTTGCGTACGCCACGCACTACACCATAGACACATCCTCCAACTAGCAGTGCCCACGGAGTCAAAGCAAATGCTGTGGAGCAAACACTGTACACACTCGCTGCGCCCGTTGCTGCTGCCGCTGCTTCTCCTGCTGCTGCTGCTCCTGCTGCAGCAGAAACACCAGATCCGGCCGCTGCCGTGGCTTCAGCTGCAGCGCCAAAAGCAACCACCGCTTCTGTTAGTTGCAGGAAGAAGAACCGTGCAGCGACTGCGCAAAGAACTGGAGCTCCCGCTGAAAAAAACACACGAACATACTATCTAACAGATCACAGAGGGATGCATCCAAACAGAATACATCCACCAAGAAAGCAGAAAATACCCACTCGATCACACCAAGGAAAACTCAATAAATAACATCCACAAATAAAAAAGGAATCTTTGTCCCTAAAACTGTCATAAAACCTGCGGCACCTTGCAGCATTCAAGGCACCATTCTGTTTACATACGCGCAGCAGCGCTTCGCACTTGCCTGCTTTAGCTGCATCGACTAAATCCTTCAAAGAATACGGAGCCATTTTCTGAAGATCGTCCAAGAAGATCTCAGCCTCGTCCACAGGCAGCAGAAATTTCGTCGATCGCAAACGGTCAGCGCCAAACACTTTCACCGTTTCCCCCAAAAAACTCACGAGGTGCTGCAAAAGAAAAATGTCGGCAAGTCTACAATCGTGAGAATGCATTTCAACTTCTACAGTTATGTGCTGACATACAAAAGAGATGTAGGCTCTCTTTGCTTCGACAGGGACCGCACTAGTCTGCGCATCCCCTGCTACCTCGAAATACACCTTCATGCGCAAGTGCTAGCAAATTAAAAACTACGACCGCACTTGTCTGTGCATAACCTGCTACCTCGAAATAAACCTTCGCGCCAAGAGCTAACAACTACAAAGCTTGGAGGGACTGACAAGCGTCAGCTCCGTGTGCATATGCAAACAAGATGTGCACGACAAGCGGGCATCCCGACAACTGACACAAGCAAAGACTTGCGCAAATCTATTCGTTTGCATGCTAGGTGCAAAAACACACTTCATGTTTAGAGTAAGCGTGAAAATGCCTAAGCACATTTTTCACACGTTCTCCGCATAACGAATGTATGTATATTTATATATTTGCATTATAAACGTGAATAAACATCCTACACATCCACGTATATAGACGTACAATATATGTACTTAGGTTGTGCGTTTGAAGCTAAACAAAACACAACTGCCTCATTCTGAACTATGCTGTCCGTTCTTACTTCAAGTGATTGGTAAGAGCTCCAACCGTGTCCCGCTTCGATCATGTAAAACCGCTGCGCGTCGGAAGCGGGCTTGCCTTTAATGACATAAAGCACATCACCGCCGTTGCTGTTTAACTCAGAGCAGAGTTGGCCTCCAACCTGCTGCAGCTGCTGCTCCAAGTCATTCTCATATTCTGGAATCTCCTTCTTTGCGGACTCAGCGAGGGCAGCAGGCAGTTCTGAGACAAGCGTGGGAGAACGCGAAGTTCGATGACTCTCGTCTCCGTCTCTCGAGGACCCGTAGCTGCTCTGACCGTCAGTAACCTCTCCGTCCCTCTCTAAGGACAACAGAGACTCCACTGATGAGACCAGAACCATATTTCCGAAGCATCTTCTCCCGCCGCCGTAGCTGCTGACGCTGCTGCTTCTGCTGTTCCGGGGCGTCCATCCTTGCCTGCCATTTTCTTCGTTTCCAGAGACCAAGTCTGTCAGAAACCAGTCCTCTGCCTCATCTAAACGACTCGAGTTGGTTCTGGAGAAAGACTTCGAGCTGCACAGCGTAGCGACGTTGCCGCTTCGAAGGCCCCCGCGCTCAAATAGAGATTCGCGCAGGGGCGTGGCCGAATCCACTTTGCCATCAGGAGAGACAGAAAAGTCCCGTGAATGCGTCACAGACGATGCAGACTCATCAGCTGATGTGCGAGCGGCTGAGTCCGGCGCCGCTGCTTCAACTTCCACGTGACGGGCAAGCGAGGAGTCAAGAAGGGCAGTCGCGAGCTGTGAAACCTTCACAGCTCCGTCAGCTTTGATTGCCCTAGTTAAGGCCTCTCCTGCATCTCTAGCGCTGCTCACCACCACCTGCCGCAGTCGAAGAAGATGAGAAATCGCCGCCATACCGGACAGCCTTCTGTTGATCCGCCCTGCGCGGGACAGTGGCGCGACGCCAACGAAAACGGGGCTCAAAAGCTCTGCCCGCTTGACATACGCTGCTAATATCTGGAGCTCTACAGAAGACTAGTGGCAAGAAGTGCCGAGAAACGGCAGGCTGCCTCGATGACTGCCAAAGAACGCGTGTCTTCTCTCCTTTGTATGCGATGAGTTGACAGGTACAACCGCTCACTTCGAAAAGAAAAAATCGAGAAGAAGTAGCTTTCACATGTTTTCAAAGACCTTGCCTGGTCTGTTTAACAAGGAAGCAACTGAGAAAAGGTACACTTGTGAGCAGGTCCGTACGATGGACACCTAGATCGACAGGTGAACACAAATAGCTAATAGCCACGGTGGTTTGAAAGCCGTTTACAATGTACGGTCAAACCTTTATTCAAAACGATCCAAAACGTCTTGACATATAGCCTTCAATACATTTGCAAAGCTCATTCATTATAAGAAGGTCCTTGCCGAAGCTCACCGCCAACCTCCTGATTTGTGAAGGCCACAGTGGTCCAGACAACAACAAGGCGACTGACAATCGCGCTAGACACTGCCACACCAAGCCATTAAGGAGCTTTAATATCAATTTGATTTGGTGTGTGTAACTGTAAATGTCTCAAAAGACCGCTTCCAAAGCTGTTGCAGTGGGAAGTTTCTCCCTCTGGCTTCCAGGAGATTGGGTGGTGGTGGTTACTCGAAGAGGCAGCAGCCTTGAGTGGTTTGCACATGGTTTCAGTGCTTCGTTCTCATTCATAAATCAAGAAAGTGCATTGGAATTTGCACACCAGTACTCCCAATGAAGTGTAGCGAAGCTCATCCTTCTCGCCATTTTTCACTGTGACCTCCAGCAATCCTGTGGCACAGCGCAGCCTTTGCTGATGTTATGTACTGTACAAGAGACGTGACGGAGAATCCTTGAACTTTATAGCACTTAAATATGGCAAAATTGCAAAAGTTTTAAATTGCGTGCTGATGAGTTCAAATGCTTGGATCTTCGTCAGCCCACGACACAATCTCAAGATTACTGTAGCCAAATGACTCACCCGACGAATCAATATCATCTACCTTTCCAGATTCAATAAGACAATATCAACTTTTTACTACGTGGTACAAGTGGGTTATGCGCCGTAATTCTCTCATTTTCTTGTTCTTCCCTCAGCGGTGTACCATGCCTTCTTAGCTTAGTCGGTAGAGCATCCGCTTAGTAAGCGGAAGGTCGCCGGTTCGAATCCGGCAGGAGGCTTCTGGCGCTCGGTGAACGACCCGCTTCTTACGCTGCCCCTGGCACTGCGCACCGTCCCCTCATCCCCACCGCATGTCTATGCAGGTCAGGCACTACTACCAACCTTTCTACCTACGCTTTGGACTGCCAGCCAGTGCAGTACAGCTACCAACTTCAATGTATGCGAAGCCCTAGAGATCTACACAATCGCACAGAGGTACTAAGGTGTGGCTGCACTTCATTTAACTGCAGCACACCGGGCGGGACGCACAGGAGTGTTGCGTGCACATATTTCTGAGCACATTTGACATCTCTATGTGGTACGCTCTTTACAATTGTGTGTATCTATGTATTAATGGAGGGCCAACTTTGTTCTCCCCTTGCAACGGCAACGCTACAACAGCAATTCTAAATCAAGGTAATGCGAAAAGAATACGTGCGCGCGTAAAATTCCGTGGCTCGCCACTAAACCCCTTTGTTCCTTCACACCTCTTGCAAGCACCACTTACCCTGCGGAGCACCTAGCAATGCTATTGAATAATTAAACGCGTATGTCGTAAAAACTCATAAAAGGGCGTACAAATGAAACGAATACGAAGATGCAGAACACCACGAAAAAGGGAATTGATGGAAACAGAACTGTTTGATTGTGGACCAAAATGACCTTTTATATTTGTTGATTTGTGAGCTACCTTAAATTGTGAGGCGCTTATCTACCCATTTAAAACGCCTTCGCGCCTGATCATTCAACCCCCTGCTTCCCTTGCAGCTCCCTATCCAGCTCCGTGCGCATAGCACAGGAATCTACGCAGACTACTAGGAGGAACACTCCTGTGCCTCGCAGTCGCAAAGAGCCAGATTCCATAGTCGTGCACTTCTCGGGAAGACAAGAGACACAAAATCTGTACCAACCAACAACCTCACTCATCCGCAACCCTCTTCTTCTGTGTGCATTTCGGCAGTTGACAACCCAGCGCACGGCTCATCTTCTGCAAAATAACCCCGTTCGGAATGGCCTATTGACAAAAACACGAATGCACACAGTTGAAGCAGACATCTGAGAGGCACGCTGCATGCAGCGCCCAATCACGCACTTTCCCAAAGCCCTGCTGCAGCTAGAAGTGTGTAAGTCAGTCGGAAACGATCCAGCACAAGGCCCTATTTATCAGATATGACCCGTCTCATCTTTTTGTACCGCATCTTCCCCTCTCTTGCCTGTATCTTTTCAATTGCTTTTCTATTCCCCTCTCGGCTACTAAGTGAGACAGGGAGTGTGCCCTCAGACTGCTAAAGCCTGGCTATGGGACCATCCCCCTGTTGGCCTACCTTCCCACTTTCATACTCGCTAACAACTGAGGGCTTCTCATTGATCGCCTGCGCTAGCTGGGCCTGAGTCATGCCCTTGTTCCTCCTAGCCTCTGCCAAAGCGCGGCAGAAGTCAGTCGAGACTCGGTCAATGTGGTAGTCGCCGGTGTCTTCCTCAACCTTCTTGGCGCTGAGAAAAGAAAAATGCAAAAAATAGGGTTGTAGACAACTAATTTCGCAAAATTTGCGCCAACGGCAATTGGGGGTGCAACACCATTTGGTCTCCACCTCTGCGGAAAAAGGGAATGCACAGTACAAGCCACACAAGAAGCCCAGACGCAAGCGTATAAGGAAATAGAATTGAAACGAAATACACTCGTATCCTAAATTGGGAAACAAAAAAATCCCGGCCATGCAGTAGGTTGAGCTACAAGCAGAGGAAATGGAAAAAAGCGGCGAAGAGGCAGGATCACACCCGACAAGTGTGCCAAGAGCTCGAGGAACAAAATCGAAAAGTGCGATGAAGTTGACAGAGCAAAATAACCAGCCAGCAAATCAAAGCAATACAAAAAGGTGCAACGCTAGCAAAAACAACTGCATGTAACGAATCTACCCTAAATGCACACGACGACGACGCCAATGCAAAAGTGTAAAAGATGTGGGATGACCCTATTTCACTATGCACTTACTTCGGGATCAAACCAGCCTTCGTAGCTTTGTTCCGACCGCCCAGAACTAAAGCGCAACAGGTAAAAGCACTTACACGTCAGGGCTGTGACGAGGCGTTTCCAGTGGGGAGCAAAATGTACTAATGGGCACTAATGGGAACCATTAACCAACGATTTGATGTCAATCTCGCCAGCCTCTAATGCACGGAAGGGTTGAGGTCTCTGCTTACATTTCTTCTCAGTTTCTATCACTTCCCCGGCCCTGCGCGCCTTGTTGACTTCTGATTCTTTAGATACTCTTTTCCCTCCCCCTGGACTGGTTTTCTTCAATACCACTGGAGTCCAGTCTTGGAAATGCGACATTTTTTTAAGAGAAGCTGCAGAACAGGGGCTCGCGGGAAACCAAGACGCAGGCACTTTGAAGCGAGAAGCGAGGAATGGCGCACAAGTGCGAGGTACGCAGAATGTCCTAAATGCCGGATTTCATAAAAAAACCAGCTTTTCACGCTACTTTACTTTTTTAGAACCGTGGATTTCGCTGGAAGCCCACTCGGCTGCATCAAGCGGTGGTGGATGGGGCTGTGCATGCGACTGGTGAGCCCTCCAAAGACGACGGCGCTGTCAGCTTGAAACCACTACAAGTATTTGTCCGTGCATTTGTCTATCGAGAAACTGAAGTGTATGGTGGAGCGTACTTTTACTTTTTATGTTGTGAGTACAGAGGGCGTTCGTCCGTCGAGTCTCCGCGTTTGTTTTCTGCCAGTGCTGCTCGCCTCTTCTGTCCAGGTGTTGGAGGAGGTTTCGAGCTTGCTTAGCCTTTTCCGTGGGGTATCTATTTTTAAGAAGACGACTAAGGAAAACTGACGTTGTGCACGCCCTACTGCCGTTCCCCGCTTGCTCCCTTGGGGTGCACGGCGTTTCGCCAAGCTTGTGACAAGCTATCCTCCTGAGAAGCCATGGAACAGGCCAAGAAGTTGCAGTTCCCTCCCTATTTTCCAATTGTAAGGAAAGGTATGAGTTGAACAACGAGACAATGTCGGAATTGTACGCTTATGAGCTTCCACCGCATTCTGTTCTTCATCGCTAGTAGTTAGTTCTCTGAGCCTTTAACCGCTTCCTGTTTCACTATACATTACTATTTTCTCAATGTGGCTGCGCTTCAGGATGCGAGAAGGTAGCCACTGATTTATTCGAGTGTTTGCAAGCATGTACCAATGAAGGACACACTAAGCTGACAGAAAGTGCAATGGAGGAGAAGTGCGGCAAGGCTATGGAGGTGAGACTCACTTGCTGTCTTCACGTGTTTGAAGCATTGAGCAGATTTTGTTTTGTTAGTGTATTTGCTAGCAAAAATGTAGACGCGATGTTGAAACGGGGCGAGACCATATGATCTTCTATCTAGAGCTTCAGCAAGGGCTTAATGCTTATTTGGCCTCTGCAGGTGTACAAAACGTGCACTGAGGCGTCACTCAGTGATAAACGCCTCCCGCCTCCACTCGTCGAAGTCGGCTTCCCGCCAAAGCATTCTTGAAGTGCAAACAAGGAAACTCCAGAGCTACCCTGCCCACAATATTGTACCTACTCGCGGCTGTGTATGCACGTGCACGTACGCACACAGTTTGACGGCGTAGAACGTCCACTCCTTTTTTGTGTTCCGGTGGCAGTCTTGCCCAGCTCATTTTTGGCCGAGTGTTCTACCCTGCACGTAGATGTCATGACGGCACTTCCCATTTCGCTGTCAAATGCGGCTTCGTAACAGACTTCGCCGCCCTCAGAGGCATATGCCAAAGAAAGTACTGAGGATTTTCAGCGAATGAGACGGTGCCCCGCTTGGCGTGCTAATGGCCCCAAATGACCACGTGAATTTCGTGTGCCACTGTGGCCAGGAAGAACCCAGTAGGAAGTTGACTTCGATTTGGAACGATCCCAGGGCCGTGTTTCCAGGTCCGCGCTAAATAACACTAGTCCTATTCATTAGTCTCCATCTGCACTGTACCAGCAACCACGTGTGCGTAAGCTAGTCTTTCGGAGGACTGCCACAGCGTACGACTAATTTGTACTGCTTCTGCTTAGTCCAATGAACAATCGGGCAGAGAGGTATACACTAGGGAGAAATGCCTGCATGGCTCGACCCCAGGGTCGCCTTTTGGTTCGGAGCAATCATACTGCTTAAAACCTTGTTGGGGTCACCCAAATGGGACTCGCCCGTAGGGGCACTCCCAAAGACACGTCTCTTCACACGATTATTTCTTTAATGCCTCTCTGACACTCTTTGCCACGTTCTCTCCTGTGAAACCGAATGCTTTCCAAATGTCGGCTCGAGGGGCGCTTGCACCGAAGCCCTTCATTCCGATGTGCACGTCGAAATATCTGTCCCAGCCTGATTCACGGACAGCGAAACGTCACACACGCAGACCTAGCTGGTGAGGACATTGCCAGGGAGTTGCAACTGTGTCTCACTCAGCAGCTGATGAAGAATTTTAGTGGCTTGTACACTGGGAACTGATGCACGAAGTTTACATGAACATATCAGCAAGGGGCCAAGAGCTTGCATAAAAGATGCGGATACGAGAAGCCAGGCGCACCAGAGGCCGCACGCAATACAATGACCATGGGAAATATTTACTTCGCTCTTCCAGTGTGATAGCTACAAGACGCACCTAGAGTTGCAGCGGCTTCAACATATGCACACAGGACCTTCCCCTCTTTTCTTTCCTTCAGCATTAATACTTCCTCTCTGTAAGCCTCGGGCTGCTCTTCAAAAGTGTCCCAACACATCATGGAAACAACGCGAACATCGCACTCTGTAAGCAGCTTTTTCGCCTCGACACAAAATTGAAGTTCCGACCCGCTTCCAGCAATAATAACCTGTAGTCCACAAAGAAGCATCAACCTCCACACGTTCCAGAAATCGGGAACTAAATATGAATACTTAGAAACGCACTAATCAACCGCTTTTCCCCGGTTGCCAGCAGAGCGGCAAAAGAGCATACTGGGAAAGAAAACATGAATATCGCCCCCAAATCCCTGGAAGTTCATACGACACACAGACGCGTGGTTTTCAGTCACTCTCGATTATCAATGAATTTAGCTTACCTGGGGCTTTCCCGACTTGGCAAAGTCCGAAACAATGTAACCTCCCTTCAGCGCTTTTTCTACTGAGCTTCCAGCAATCGGAGGGATGCCCCCACGGCACAAGCAGATGACTGTGGGACCCGTAGCATGCCTCAACCAGGTGATATAAGCGGCTGCCACTTCGTTCGCATCTGCAGCAGGGACGTATGGAACAGCGAGCTAACACAATCACGCATGGGAGAGATATGCTAGGGGCTCCCGTTAATCATCAACGACGAACACAAGCTGCTTCGCGTTGAACGAAAGTATCCTGCATTCCTCCCCGTACCTCCAGAATATGCAGTGTGTAGTTTCAAGAACTGTCACGATCATTATGGGCATGCAAGCATCCGTACGCAGTCCAAATACGAACCATGCGCAGCCACAAATGCGTCCAGAATTACCTGCCGGTCTAGCGCAGAGCATGTTGGGCAAAGCCCTGCAGAGGGGGATGACCTCCACCGCCTGGTGCGTTGGTCCATCTTCTCCAAGCTCAATTGAGTCGTGAGTAGATATGAATAAGCAGCCAAGCTTGGAGAGAGCTGCGAGTCTCACCGCTCCCCAAGCGTAGGTGATGAAGTTGAGGAAAGTGGCACCGAAGGGGCGGAAACAGCCGTAAGCATACAACCCATTGCAAATAGCAGCCATGCCATGCTCTCTCACCCCGAAGTGAATATAACGGTCTGCGTAAGACCCGAATTTCGGGTTGGGAGAAAATGCCGTTTCACCCTTCAGTCGCGTCTCGTTTGACGTCGTCAGATCGGCACTCCCACCGATCTGCATGACGCAAAGATCTAAAAAGGTGCATACATGAGTACAAAGAAACATACACAGACGGCGACGCAAAGGACGAATGATCTAACAAGGAAGCACTTGAGGATAATCAGGAAAACATACACTGAAGGGGAGGGGAAACATCTCAAGAACATATGTGTCTCATTTAATTTGCCGGCTATCTGCCAACTCAGTTTACGGTAAGCATATCATCTTTCTCCGCTTACAAGCTCTGGCATGAAATCCTTGATTGCATTGAGTGCTTTCCCAGAGAGAACTCTTGTGGAGGCCGGGGTGTCTGCTGCTGCCTTGGCCATGTCTTTCAGCGCAGTTTCAGCTTGTTCGCTCACTTCTCTACCAAACATTCTTTCTAATTCTTGTTTTTCCTTTGGATATGCCTCTCCATACTTGGTAAAAAGCGTTTGCCATGCATCATATTCTGCTTTGTTCCGAGCGGCAACTCCCGCATAGAACTACGACACAACAACGTCTCGCATAGAATTACAGGGAATGCTCGCTTTCACAGGAATGCAAGCCGTTTACTGCCCCTCCACTGTCGACTGTTGCCCCTCTTACAGCAACACCTAAAACTAGAGTGTGGCCCTGCACCCCAACAAGCCCCAAACTGCCGCGTACTTTTCTGGTGTCCTCTGGTACGTGGAAGTCTTCGTTGGGGTTGAGGCCTAATTTCTCCTTGAGCTGTTTTATGTCGTCAGCACTCAGAGGAGCTCCATGTACCTTCTCCGTCCCCTCGTTCTGGCTACCCCATCCAATTGTTGTCTTGATTTCAATGAGAGATGGCTTGTCCGTCACCGCTTTCGCCCTTCTAATGGCCTGATAAAGAGCAGCATACAGAGTCTCATTCCACAAAAGTTCCATCTGAAGGAAATTTAATACTGGACTGTCATTCAAGATCAAAGACTGGAGACAGAGCCTACTATGCCGCTTGCTGCCTCTTTTTCACGTGGCCACTTCACTGTCTTCTACGCTCCATCTTTCCTGTGCCCGCATCCCTCAGTGCTGCTTATCTGCCTTTATTTTCACGTAGTTCTGTGCTGCTGGCTCCCTCATTGCGGTCGGCTCCGTCTCTATTTACCTGTAGAATACCACTAATGTCTCGATCTCCGTCCTTTACGGTCTGCGTGTGCCACCCGTAAGCGTTAAATCGCTGTAAAACATTCTCCGTGAAGCTGAGCGATGTGTCCCCATCTATCGTAATTTTGTTCGAGTCGTACAACACAATCAAGCGGCCCAAACCCAAGTGCCCTGCGAGAGAGCAGGCCTCGCTAGCAACGCCTGAACACAAGAGTCACCAAAAACAAATTCCTCAACAGCGTCCAGCCATAAATATCAACTGGATCATGACTGATCAGTCACAGCTAAGGACCACCCGACAGAGAAAATGGAAAAAACGTAGCCTAGCTTCTGGGTTTTGTATTCAATCCCATGTCCTCCACTAAAGCGCCTTCCCACGTTGAACAGTTGCTGTAATCAACAATGTGCTGTGTGTCACATTATGGACGATGTACGATTCCTAATACACAAACCATGGCAAAAAGGAAATTACCCAGTTACACATCTGGCTCGCCTGAGTGTCATTTATCTCGTTACCTTCCTGTAAGCATCCGTCTCCGCATATGCAGTAGATATAGTTGTCAAATAAATTGAAATTCGGCCTGTTATATTTCGCAGAGATATGGTGAGCAGCGATCGCCAAGCCAACACTGTTAGATATGCCTTGGCCGAGAGGACCTGAAGAAGGCCACGGAAAAGCGAAGTGCGGAAATTCAGCGTAGGTAAGAAAAATTTAAGATAAACAGGAACGGCAGGAACCACGGACAAACTGAAAAGGGACACGCAGGCAGAAACCGAGATACCAAACTCGTGAGCAAGCAGCGATAGCTAAAGTAGCTCACAAACGCAAGACGCCTGTGTAGTGAAGCCGCGAGGGGCAGATAGCGCAGGTAAGCAAAATCACGCAAAAAATAAAAACCAAGCACAAAGATGAACAGCTGAAGCGGTGGAGCAGAAAACTTCATCAGGGATCTCTGCGTGTCAGTCTTTACGAAGAAAAGACGGCGACAAAACACACCGTGCCTATGCACAAATGTAAAAAGCAGTGCGAACTATTAAGAGACAAGCAGACAGGCATACCGGTTGTCACTTCAATACCCGGTGCATGCCCAACCTCAGGATGACCAGGGGTCTTGCTGTGAAGCTTCCGAAACTTTTTAATGTCGTCGATTGAGAGATCATATCCTGTAGGCAAAGAGTGACGCATGCAAAGGATTTGATAGCTCTGAGAGCTGCCCACTACACGTAGTTTTTAGTAAATCTCCAGCACTAGTTTGTTAGTAGCTCCGAGACGGATATTAACAAAGTATTGGTAAAGAAGAGGACGAGTGGTGGCGCATGCATGAAAATCCCACTTCTTCTAGCAGCGTTGAAGAAGCAATTGCGGCAATGGCAAAGTCACAAAACTAGTTAGAATATAACCGAGCTTGCCCAAGTATTCTAATGCTGAGGAGGAGGAAACGGAATTCGCGTGAAGCAAAAGCGGACACTTCGTTGTATACTAAACAAAGGTGCCTCACCTGCAAGATGCAGCATCGTGTACTGCAGTACGCACGCATGCCCATTGGAGAGAACAAATCTATCTCTGTTGAACCACCTGGGGTCTTTAGGGTAGTACTTCATCACGTGGCCGAACAGACAGTGGGCCATCGGGGCACAGCCAATAGGTGCTCCTGGGTGTCCACTCTTCGCAGCCTAGATACAGCATAAAGAGCAACAAACCAAAGTACATCGAAAAAACATTTGGGTAAATGAACAGCATACGGGTAGTTTCAACCCGTTTACTGAAGCATTGTAGCAGAATGCCTACGCTGCTGCATCTAAGTACATGCCTGCTGTGAAAGTTCTCCCTTTCCTCAACTATACTTGATAGCCAAGCATCGTTGTAAATTCGATAGCAAAATCTGACAATAACGCCAACGGAGCGGCTGCTCCCAGAGGGAGCCGTTTGTTCTTTGACGTACTGCAGGAGCATCTGCACCGAAGCCTCGGATAGTGTTGATGCAAATTTCGTCTTTGGGAGTTACTGCATCTGTCACTTGCTTTTTTGTCGGATGAGCGGCCTCGCTGCCAGTTCCGTTCTCACTGCTCTTCCTCCGTGCGGCAACCATTTTGTCGTATTTCTGGGTATCAACAGTGTATACGCAGCGTTGTTTCTCTTTCCCGTGTCGCCGGGGCTTTTGCTCAGGCGCACAAACAGCAGTGCCGTCAGTGAGTGTCTCCCCCGAATTCGTCCAACAGCTTTCCTATGATGTTAAGGCACTGAAGGTAGAACGCCACCTTCTTCCGTAACTCGATCAGGTCAGATGACTCGACGAGCCTACGCCATAACGCACCCAATTGGCCTTCCGGCACTACATGAAACGCTGCCTTATGCAGCTACGAAGGTGCACGGGCATATCCGCTCGGAAATATTTAAGTGGCTATTTGAGCACGTCGACGTGCAACCATGCGGACACAGGAAATATTTTCTGACAGAAGCGCTTGTATTCCGAACAGAAAAAAATTCCGGTGCGTTTGTGCACCCACGCACACAGACAGAAAAACGCATGCGCATTTTTCTGAATATGCATGCAGAACTTCGGAATTACACAAGCAGAATTACACCACCATGCCCCCGTGTTGAGCCCTCAGCGCGCCTACACCGCAATTCTCGGACTAAAGTCTTCAATATCTTTGTGCTCTTCCCAAACTGTCCAGTTAGGTGAGCTGTCCGTTTCGCCTTGCTTGGAGCTGATTAAAAGAGATGTGCGCGAGGTGGGATCCGATGCGTTAAGCCGGCTTTGCGTCTCCGGAAGTAGAGCCTTCAAGCAAAGAAGCGCTTCCTCCCGCCGTCGAAAGCAGACGGTCGTCACCCTGCAATAAGATATGGCAGCGATAAAAGGTAGATTATTTTATTGGAATAATCAATCGAATGTGTTGGTGAGCAACACGCAGAACCAATTAAACAAGTGCCCGGAACATGAACACCGTTGACGAAGAGAACATCCGATGCGCAGATGCAGACAAGTAGGGGCGCTCTCCTTAGAGGAACTCTTCTTGTGGATGTATGCATATATAAAAGCGCGGGATTGCCAGAAATCAGCTGTGGGGCATACGGCGTCGCGCGCTCCGCCTACATACATTGAGGTGGTTCACCTCAGGATATAACTCACTCCTTATGAACAAACTTCTCATCGAAGAAAGTGTCTAAAAAGCCAAAAATGCGGCGGAAGCCCGTTGGGTAGTTCACCGCACAGTCACTGTCTTTCGTTAATCCCATTCTTCAACGGGTTAGGGCTGACGCAGCTAAACACCACGCTCGGCTCTCCCTTCGAAGGGCCTTAGTGATGGCCAGGCCCCAAAAGGCATTAGAATTTACATGGGAAGAAACCCAAAGCAACAAATTAATCAACACGCCGACTCAACCCTTTGCTGGTGTCCTTCTGTTGTGAGCACTCAGATGTGTCGCGGCGTCGTCTCTCTGGTGAATGAGTGAGCAAGTGTGTACAGCCTCACCTCTTCGATTAATAAATAATTAGTGGTGCCGCCACATGTGCCGCAAATCCAAACGAATCCAGCTAGAAGCTGGCAGCTAGTTCTATGGAGGCACGCGTAGTGTACGTTGTCACAGTGGAGATGAGTGGTGCCCGCCCAGCTGGGGAACGGCCGACACAGGTGCACAAACAGTGCGGTGCTTAGGTCCTGCTGTATGTATTGAATAGAGAATAACTATTTCTCTCTATGTATTGGTTTATTGTGATAAACCGTTCAAGTCAATGAAGAAGGCCCACCTTTTCCTGAAAACAGACTAGCGTATTGCTGACTCGAGTGTCCTATGCAGTCTGGGTCCTCGGCTTTTTCATACAAAGGGCACTTCTGCAGGAAGCTTTTGTGCTGATAAACCCTGTGCCCAAAATATTTTTGTGCATTCAGGACGTGCGCCAGTAATAATATGGAGTTCTCAGAAGCGACGCACTGAATGTGCTGTTGTCGCGGCTCTACATACTACGTAACGCAGAATAGGCGAGACTTGGCAAGATTTCTGGCTGGCTGACGTTGTAAATGCAGCAAGCTGCGGCATTGTCACTGGCTTCTCAATTGGGCATAGCAGAGAGAAGGACGATGCCTGTAGCGCTGACGGTCGTTAGAAACACCGCGGAGCTTGGAGGCATTGCGTTCTTCAGCATGTGTGAACGTAAGATTTAGGCAGACTGGAGAAGAAGGGTGATACAGCGTAAGTCAATGGTATGTGGGCAGTGAAGTGCATTAGTGTACTCCGAACTCTGTAGCGGCCTCGCCTCTCACAGGCATCGGCATTCTTAAAAATAATAACCGGACATTATGATAAGTTTTAGGCGTTCTTAAACTTTTCAGCATCAGACTGGTAGGTAAATTCATTGTTATTGTACATTAGAAACTGCCCTAACCCACATAAGAGGGCAAAAGCGTCCGAGTATATTTGGTTACTAAAGAGTTAGGCAGCCTTTTTGCTGCTCTACTGGCGTCTCCCCTATTCTTCACCATGCCTTTAGAAAATGACGAAACGCATCCTTTTAGTTCTGCGTTTTATAGTCCAAGACCAGCTTGCTATAGTTTCAACAGTGTACGGTAGGCCCATTTTTTTGACTGCACTGATTTTAGTAGCTAAGGTACCATGCTTGGCCAAGCATGCAACGGGTCCCGAAGGCCGCTTGCATTTTGGGCAGTGCTACCTTCGACTAGAAGGAACAAGCCTCACTGTATTTTAGAAAGGGCTTGGATATTTGAAATGCAAATCAGGAAAGGCTATCTGTCCCTCGCGGTCTCCTAGCCACCTCTGCTCGACGCCTGCAGGCTTTTCCCACTTCCTCATCCGTCCGCCTTTGGCGCAATGCCGCTGCGCGCAGGCTGTAGGGGCGTTCTTGAGCCCTAGTTTATTTGAATGCTCATATAGTTGGCAGACCTGACAGCATTGTCACATCAATCATCTTTTGTTGAACGAAGCTCCCTGAGGCATGCAAGGTAACCGGAATGCAACCTGAATAGTCGGAAAGGGACCCTCTCTTCTTGAGGCTAAGCTCTATTATAACAGGACAATATGATTCCCCACAAGAAAGGCGCAGAGACTTCGTCTCTAGGAAAGACGGCTACCTGCCCAGCCTTCACCTGTCGCGGCATGTATAAAAAGCTCTGGGCCCGTTAGACCTCATCAATGCATACACGAGCTCGCCCAAGCTATCCTTAAGCAGAGAAATGCAATGCGAATAGTGGGTCACTCGTGACGACGCCATGTGGCAGTCATAGCGCGCGCCATTACAATGAGGCCGAGAACTGGCCTTCACGGTTGTTTAGCTCGAGCACGTAGATTGGAAAAAAATACACAAACAATTACCATGCAAGACGTAATATGCGCTGCAGTTGTGCCGGGCGCTTATGGATCACAAGAGGCACTGAAGCTTAGGTGCGCAGCACAGCCAAGGAAAGAGAAGACACGAGAGATAAAGAGTTGCCTTCCTAACATCTGGGCGCTACAATGACTATGACCTGTGTAGCAAAAACGGAAGAGTTGCATAGGAGCAAAGCTTGGCGGAGAACACTACACTGATCCCTAACTCATCCGCGGTTCCAGTGTGCACATTCAATTCAGGAAAAAACTCACTTAGCTGTTGCCCACTCTGGTTGTTGCAAGTAGACGTATTGGTAGAGCGGCAAAACAAGTTGCAATAGGCTAGCAGAATTGTACAAGAAGCAAGGCTAGTTGGGTTTGGGAGAATGGCATGGAGGAACCGGTAAACGAATAAATATCTCGGAACATCACGCCAATAGCCAATATTAAATTATATAACCCCAACAGTTTCTAAAAAGAAAATGGAACGCGCGAGAGCAATTAAAGCATCAAATACATCACCAGCCACTGCAGCAGCAGCCGACTTGATAACAGCAAGTTTGGCAGCAGCTCCAGTGTAGTGCACAGCACTTACTGCTGCGACAACGCTGGTCTTACTGAATAGTTCATTGTTCAAGGGAACGTCGACAGGGTTTTGCAGCGGGCTCTGAGGCACTGACGGGGCAAGCATATGCGTGCCCCGCGACTGCCTCACCATTCTTCAGCCTCGCTGAATGCCCAAGATGGTGCCATGTTGCTGGCATTGTTCAGCTCCTGATGCCAGCAGAGCCGGAGTTCCTTCAGCAAAGAACAAGATACGTGACAATCTGCTTGGCTCCGAAAGCGCAGGGTGTTTAGACTGTTCCAATAACGTATCGGCAACCTGGGCCTGCTCGTCTTGGAAACCCACAATTGTGAAGCCTCAGAACTCCGCCAACAAATCAAGGCATCGAATGATGCGACGATTCTGGCGTGCAGGCGAGCTCAGCCGATGCAGGTGATTGCGAGCTTGATGGTTAGCGTAGGTCTGCATGCAGTAACCTTAAAGGCACCAAATAAATGAAGACGCTTCTCCAGAGCAGGGAGGAGAGCTACCAATCCCTGGCTATAGATGGAAAATTTCTTTTTTATCCGTTGCATGATACAGCTGAGGAAATTAGCTGGGTTTTTCCCGACCACGCTGTAGAGAGGCGGGAGAGTAAGGAGAATATACCAGCATACTGCCGAACCAGCATCACCAAGGGGCAAGTCAAGCCGCTCTCTTTTGAACAACCTAACTAGCTTTTCCACGTCAAGATTAAGTCAAGTCGCGTCAAATGGCATGAAACATTCTCTCGTGAATGCTTGCCAGTCAATAAAATGGTGATGCTCGTGTGGAGCTTATTCAGCGGCAGACCGACTGGTTGTGAGTGGAGAAAGGCAGGTTGGCGTAGCACGCCAAGTATCTCAATTGGGCCACTATGGGGTTTACTTCTGCGGCCTACTAAGATGATGCAGATTCATTCATGTTTGCTGAACAAACACCTTATCCGAGCTGCATCGCTTAAGTAGCGGGCACACAACTACTGCCGTCTGCTCTGCAATCGGGCCTGACAATTTTCTCACTATTAGGTCGCAGCCACATTAGGCTGGAGGCACTCTTTTCTCGCTTTGCCTTTGCTCCGTATAAGTCTACTGCATCATCTTTCATTCACAAGGTTCTGTGCTTGCCAGGTTATACCCTGTTACAGTTATGTCGTGTGAGACAATCAAATCCCAAAGCCAGGCTATAGCAAATAGGCCCCGGTACCAAACCTCCCTGTTGGTTTGGCCGTCGCAGTTGCAACGGCTGCGTCTCCAGTAACAAACGCGACAGACTATGCAGCTATTTTAGGAGCAGAAATAACGAAAAGGGCAAAAAGAACGGATGCGAAGGCCCGGAAGCTGCCAGCACCAACATCGATGTGGCTGCGGCGCTGTCTTTCGAAGGGACTGGTAGGGCCCTCGCTATTGGACTTGGAAGAACTACACGTTACTTTGAGACTCCCACTCACTTGGTGCGCGCTTCTTTGTTACTAAGCATTTTCGCTTGATGGATCCGCCTTTTAACTCACATCAACCTGATGCCTCGCTCTGGGATATGTGCTGAGTCTAGCCATCCCGAGAGCTCTGTCCTTATACGTGCAGTACATCTAATTCACGTCTTAAATGAGTAAACTTCGATCTGCTTGGCCTCAAGGCTCTGTGCTGCACTATACTGTATAGTGTTCCAGGCGTTATGACGATAGCGGCACAACCTTACCCACGATGAGCCACGTTGCTGAGCCGAGCTCCTAATGCTGGTGGTTGAAGTAAGCAAGGCTCTGTATAATGAAATAATTTGATGAGAATACCTGCGAGTAGTCACAATTACAATTGGTGAGAAGGAGCACGCAATGGGCATAGTAAGTTGAAGGGAAAGAAGGAAGAAAATGAAAATATAGAGGGCCTTTCGTTGATTTTAAACACGAAAATCCAGGTAATGCAGTTAATGAAGTCCTTAGAATCGCCAGAAATGCTAGGAGACTCGCATGGAGAGAAACACGAAGCAACCGACATAAAATAAGCACAAACAATTGAAAACAAGTAGCCCTAATATAGCCATTAAGGGATAACTGACGAGCAGTTAAGGGTTTTCTGCCCATCCACAGCCCTAGCAACAGATGTGAGCAAGAAAGCAGTAATGCAGCATAGCAGATATGAAGATGCATGAAACAATGGGATGTAATCGAGCCTGGAAAGAAGTATCGGAGGGTGGAAGTTGCCATCCGGGGCACGAAAATGGGGCCAGAACTAATGCTAAATGGACTACAAAAGTACAAAAATAAAAAATCACATAAATTTAAGCTTGTGCTTTTGGGAAAAGTGAAAGATATCGACGGTCTTCAAACAAACAGTCTTCAAACACCACAACTGCCCAGTGTATGGCCATAGGTGACTCTGGGTGCACAGCAAGGCAGCATGATGCGGAAACAGGCAGTTTTCTGTATATAAGGCCTCTCGAGTCCTTGAATTTATTATGTTTTGTTGAATCAATTGTTGTGGTTATGGGTAATTGGATTAAATGGAGTTAAAATCTCTATGGAGTCGGCAAGGACTGTGCACTAGTGGAGGATGCGCTAGGCGCTACAAGCAGCGAGACTGACATTTAATTGTTCACTGAATTTCTCTTTTGTTCGAAGCTGGTTCAGCAATATGCCTCGATTGCGCTGTTCCCTGTATTTGTGATATTCGAACTGTGGTCCAACCTGCGATGTGGGGAAATTTGACCTTACAGGTGCTTTGGGCAAATTTTCTTCTGATCAATGTGCAACTCTTCAAATCTATTGGAGCTTTCACTGTGCTCTTTGTCGACGAACCTTTGTTTTCTTTTGCCTCATTTCTGAGCTATGACTATATTAACGAAGACTATGGCAAGACGGAGACTGTTGTGTTGCCCGTGTCGAACCAGGATGTATCAGAAACCACTCCAGAGTCCTGGCCAGAAGCAGACGCGACAGAAGCGAATCCTGGACAAGCTTCGAATGTGCCTAGTACTAGACCAAGGGTTGGTGTCGTTCGCAAATGGACCACGGGGGAGAGTCTAATTACTACCTTCGCATTCTTGTCGCTCTGTCTGCTGGCTGCTCATAAAAAAAAGCGGCCTGCGCTGAAGGAACAAAACCAGCGGACGCAGAAGGAGGGGCAGCTGTTCCATACTCTAGAAGGTGGAAGACCTTCCGCACAAGAGAGAAAAGGCGCAAGCGAGCCGCCCGTCAGCGCCCATACGGCGAAAGAACAAAGCAGAGTACAGATTGTGCGGGGTCTCCTGCCATTGGCAGTCCGTCTGGCCTTGGCATTAGACTCACAGGAGTCTCAGGTACTTCTAGATTGTGCAAGAGAAAATGTGAAGAAGGCAGAAGCAGCTGTAGCATCGGCAACCAAAGAGGCAGGACGCAAGATGCATCTTGATAATGCTGTACAGGCCTTACGCCGTCTGCATCAAATGTCCCTTCAGCAGGCACAAGCGCTTGCAAAGGCCGGCTCAAAAGTTCCTAATTTTGGTCTGCTAGATCTGGACGAAAAGGGCGGAGTGATGACGGCTCAGCTAAGTGATATTATCGAAGGGGAGGCAGTTTTTCCCTTCGTGGTTTATTTGCGTTCTCTCCAGAACAGTGCAATTAACGTGTGCCAAATGTTTGATGGTGCACATAAGAGGCTTCTGATGTCGGCGCGATTTGCAAACGAGGCAGATGGAGAGCTTTTATTGTCTGCTGCAGCTGAGCTTGAATGGTTGCGTTCCATGGGTGACAGAAAAGCCCACATACTTCAGAGAGCAACGAAAGTGGAGGAGACTGCAATGAACGGCATACGCATACGTCTCTTGAGTACAGTTGAAGAGTGGATGAGGACTCTCCATTTGACTTGCAGCGTCCTAACAGTCTACGTTGGGTTGGTACCAAACACAGTGGAGGCCTCTCCAGAGGAGGGTGGTGCATCTGCTTATAAAAACAGTGAAAGTATTCAACTTCTCATGAAGAAACTGGAATGTGCAAGAGAGCTTATGGGAAGTATAGATAGAGAAAAACGAGCTGTGGAGGCAAGCACCTCAGTGGAGAGCGCCAATGCTTCGTTTGGGCGTGTCGAAAAACTAAACGAAAAGACGCTGGACTTGCTGGAAGATTGCTGGGAGTTAACGAAGATCATGTCTCCTCCTCGTACCGAGCTGAACTCCGAAGACCTTGCATTACTGATAAAAGCGACTACAGAGGCCAGCGCTTTCGCCGAAAAACAAATTAGTTCAGCAAGAGCCAACCTGTCTACTGTTAGAGGAAGGTGCAGCTCTAATCTGAATATCGGAGGTGGGGAACGAACAGTTGCTGGGCAGCTTAGCCCTCCGTTGAAGGAGCAGCTACTTGACGATGCAATGGCCATCGAGGAGTCGGTTGCAGTGCACTACGAGGCAACTCAGAACGCTGTCAAAAAGCTCCGAAACAAGAGCTGTTTGGCGGATGCTACAGTACTGCTTGATGAAATGGAGGATAGTATAGCTAACCTCGTGAAGTACAATGAAAGATCAATGACGCTGGTGCTGCAGAGCAATCTGCAAGTATTTCTGGAGGATGAAGTCGAAAGCAGTGTCAGAGCTGCCGAGCACGCTTTCTCGAGCAGCGTGACTTTTCCAGGTCCAAAGCTTGCTGATTTACACAAGCTTCGATCCCTTTTAAATGAAGCCAGGAAGGAGGCGGGGAGCGCTAGCACATTTGCAGAGGCTGTACAGACAGCGGCGAAGGTGCGAAGCCACGCCGAAGCAATAGACGATATGCTGAAAAACCACCAGAGAAGCTTACTCAAGCTTGATTGAAGCTTCCTTGGTGTCATCAGCATTTTAAGGAGTCTGTAATCCTTCAGGGGCAAGCTGGCATACATGATGGTTGCTGGAAAGTGGAACCACGCGCTTAAGGCGAAACCCACAGCAGACGAACAGCATTGCCAACAACCAGGTTCCAGGCTTCGTGCCCTGGATACAATGCGCGTTTTCAACACCATGCGGGTGTATGCACTTGCGAGTATGTTTCTGTCTGTCGCTTCCTTGTTAATGTACTGACAACTCGACAGCATGCCTTCACACGTGCGGAATTTGTGGCTGCTGCCATTTGGATGAGTGCGAGTTTGTCCCGTTTATGTAGTGCGCTTATTCGTGATGGACAATTTCTACATGCGAGCTGCCAGTAGCTAAAAAATGCTGTTTTAATACGTAGTTTACCTGTAACCTTGCATTTCGCACGCTTGCAGACTACCCTTTCGGAATGGATATGTACCTTGCATTCGTTTTTTCGTCAGTCCGGATGGTCGCAGGTCAAGCAGCACGTGCGGGTGCTGTGGCAGCACATTATTGATTGATTTCATGATGAGTAGACTCGTTGCCGCGTAACCTTTTTGTTGAAAAGTGTGGCGTGCAGCGTGCAATGGAGACGAAATCTGCGCGTTATTCCTTCAGCTATATTCTGTGGATCAAAGCTCTCGAGCATTTGCGCTTCGTCTGCGTTTGCGCCTAGAACCATTCACGACGCAAGCTGCATCAGCTCGCAGGGACATTGTCGGAGACGTAAAAGTCATAATGAATATGCTCATAGTACGTTCATTTTCTATGGGTTGCCGATAATTTACGTGGTGCGCGAGATAGATGTTACGAGAATGCAGTCTGTGACTCTTCCCTGGCGTGCGTACACTCCGGGGTACCTCTTCAATGGTGGATTGCTGCGCAGGGATGCAGCCACCCAAAGAACAATATTGCAGTTTTGGTGTTTGCTACTTTCTGCACTGCTGGACAACTAAGTACGCAAATTGAAAAAAAAAAACATTACAGAACTGGCAGCTGGCAAGGTTTCACGACCACAAACTCAGCCTGACAAAATTCTGGTTAGCTCAAAAAGACGAAACGCTGCCTCCAGTTATCCTATAGAACAGATCAACGCCATCAAAATGCAGTACTCTGAGAATAGCGAGGAGGAAAGCGGGAGACATCCTCGAGACGGCAAAATAAGTAGAACAGCATTCGACGCATTAGGCTATAAGTGCAGTTTTTGCAAAATAGGTGAATCCTAGCAAATTTTGTGGGAAGATTCAAGCTTCGAGCAGTTGGAGACAAATTTGCTGGAAGGCGTGCCTTTTTAATTTTACGCAGCAACTATGCAGAGGGACGCCTTAACTATGTGAGTGGCTATGCACTATGTTTCTTGCTAGGCTTTGATAGTCACATAGGACTTTTCCCTTCAACGAAAGGTGCTGTGAGCAGCATGAAAGCACTGGCTCCTCATAGTGCGAAGTGCCTCGAAAAAAAGAAGTTGCTGGCAGGTAACCATGTTCTAGAACTTGGCAAGAGAGGATGTGCTGATTTACATTTTCGAGTTCCACTGGTGTGCACATCTGCAACGGTGTGATGCGTAGTATCGTGTACCTTTAACAACCAAACAGTCTGCCTTTCGGAGTCTGGATATTTCTTCCTTCACATCTCTCCCCCCTTATTCCAGCTACACAGAAGCACGCATGTGGCCCTAGCATGAGCATTGAGAATTGCCTCCTACAGTTAGAACTTCTGAGAGGTGCAGATGCTTTAGAAGCTGCAAACCTTCACGCCATCTATTGCGTGCAAATGTGTGTGCAGAATTGCGCTTTAAATGGGCTGAGCCCGAGGCACCTTCCTCATCTGCCTCTTTGTCTTGAAAACTTCATAAGGCTACATGGATACATCAGGTGATGCCATCAAATACTGCAATAAAGAAACAATAAAAGACACCACGAAGCCACACAAGCTTAAAGGTTAAGAGCAGCTTCTATCAGCCCAGCGGAATACCAGCAAAACAGTAAATAATGCATCTTGTCTGGAATATCATTTCAAAAACCCTGCTGTGGAGGAAGGGCCCGTACAGCATGCGCAGTATTTGCCACGCGCAATAGAGGGTTTGCCTGAAGCACGACTGCGTCTCCTGCAGCACTACAAAACTTCCACAGCGGTACTTTTCAGCATGTGGCCGACTGATCTTCTATCTCAAACATTCTGTGTGGCAGCTGCCATAATGGTGCCACCATTTGTGGAAGACACAGGCGCAAATGTGTATAGATCGCATCGTTTGGAGCACTGAGCCTGAAGGATGATGAGCATACATCTCAAGATTCGGTTGCGTTTTATCCATGGCACAATAGAATACTCGACGCTTAACGTAAGGCGCTTCAAACGTCCCCAAATGTGAGTGTGCACTTGGCGGGACACACGCTTTGTTCCCCCCATAGTTGTGTCACGCGAACCTCGTCGTAGATCTGTCACTCGTCGGTAGTGCATTTTCCCTTATTTTTTGAGCACATTGGTAATTAAGGGCCTTGGTAACGTCTGCACGCGCCCTGATACAAGAGTGCCCTTGAATTTTGTCTGGTACTTGACGAGAAAGCAGCGACTTGAATAGATTCTCATGAGCAGCTTGTTTTACATTACCTTTCCAAGAGGTGGAGCTGGCATAAGGATGTGCAAACACAAAAGGCCATATTCGTTCTGTTGTAACCGGACGTCAGGTCCACATTTGCTGCTATGTGTCCGAAATCGAAGATAATAGTATTCGCCTGCCAGACCCAAAAGAGGTCGTTTTCACAATTCATGGGTAGAAATAGAGGGGAGCCAAGATTTCAAATCGCCGACTAGGGCCTCTTGAATACAGAAAAACTACATCAGTAGTACGCCAGTAGTACGCCACAGGTTTTTCGCAGAGACAGTTCCTGTTATCAAACCTGAAAGTGCCCGAGCTACAGCAAAAATCTTCTGCACGGGGAAAGGCGGATGTGAACGACGTGCTAAAGATGAAGATGCAAGTGAAACGGAAAGCATTTGTAAGTAGATTTCCAACTTCTGCTGGCCTCGCTGTATATAGCTATCTGCGTGGAACCGAGAGGCCACACTGTGCCATATGCAAAAGCGGACAGAACGCTCAATGTTGTTTTCACTCTTAAGATGGGAACGTTTAAATACAGAGAAAGCCACTGTGGCCCGTGTTAAGTTTCTGTACGTAATAGTTGGCGTAGAGTGATTCCACCAACTGCCTGCGTCAACTTCGCAGTGAAGTTAAAATTAATAAGCGACAGACTTCAACATTATGAAGAGACATCGAAAAAGCTACGATGTGCCACGTTGAAACCTTACGGTAAAGGCGAGCTTAATAGGAAGAAGGAGCTGGTAAACAGGAATGCTCTCGAATGAGAGCTTCAACCCCGTGCAGTGACCAGTTTCACACGATTGTCCGCAAGTAGGCGTTCTGTGCACCCTTACACAGTGAGACGCAAAATTAGGTAACTGTTTGCTCTGATGATATTTCTTCTCGAAGATTATCAGAAAGAGAAGACAATAGTAGGATTAAAAGGTAAGTACATGATCAGTGTCTAATGTGCTAACACCTTTCTGATCTGCAACGCGTAAAACAGCCTTTAAGGAAATATCACGGAAAGCCTCTGACCCATAGTATCGGTGCATTAGCTTTCTACTGGTATCAGGGAAACAGGTTAGCCCGGCTGCAGAAACAAAAGATGTGACGAGGATTTCATGAAGTCTGCTCCTCTACACCATTATATTGCGCGCGGTATGAAGTTAACGAATGCACAAGGCTGCTGGCTAGGACACTATCTCGAGTCAATCGCTCACAGGGTTGTGCCATCGTTTCGTGGACCTGGGTTTATCCTGCATAGAAAGTCAACGCAGCCCTACGGTGGCCACATATTTTAGTCACTCTACACTTAACCGCCGCGAAAACCGACAAAGTACCTTTATCCTTGCGTAAGAGTCTCCGTCACTCTAGCAATATGATACTATTCATAGCCTAGGTGCCACTCTGCGTAAACACTGTGGCATTTGGTGCTTTGTTGAAAGGTATTTTGCGTCGACCGCTGCGGAAGCGACAAAGTCTGTTATTTTTTCACCGCGGTTCGACACAGAAGGCCTGTCAGGAAAGCATCTAATGCCACAGTGATTACGCAGAGTAGCTGCAGTGAAGGAAACATGAAAATTTTGTCGCAGCATTTCGGTAGAGAAACATCATAATTTCGTCCCTACCGAGATGCGGCAAACGCAGGCCACTCCAGGCCGCGTTGTTGTTCAGTTTCGTGCTAAACTTAGTCTCCAGATGTGGCATCTTCACCATTATATTATCCAACACAAGAAATGAATACGCCGTTCAGCTTTACTGAAGGCGCAGTGCAGCTATCTCAGTTCGAAGCCCATTGGCTGCCAAACGCATCAGCTTTCAGGGCTTTCCATAGAAGCTGCTGCATGAATACCGTGTTCGTCGATCCTACACAAGTTGTGCTGTGCTTATTCCACAAGGCGGATTTGCAGCACATCGCTGCGGTGGCGGTTCTGGTCAGAAATTATGGGAAAAAATCGAAGTCCTTAGATGCCTTCCATTTGTACCCGCACAGTGCCTCCTGGGCGCCAAACTCCTATGGAGCGTCATTGGCTTCCGTACGTACGTATCACTATGCGTGCTCCGGACGGTCAGCGGCATGCTCTAGATCAGGCAGCTGCTGCGCACGACCAACTCCTAGCTTGCCGGGTCACTGTAATATATGTAATTAGTCTTCACTTCCTCAGCCTATATCTCTAGTTAGTCTGCCCTTCTGTTGACCTGAAGCATGGTCCTTTCAGAAAGTTCGCACTGCAACGAAAAACTGATGCACATCTGGAACTGTTGCTCGGAAGCTCCGCACTATCTCCTAGTTACATCATTCCTGTGCACCGCAGGTGCCACCGTTTCTATGCAGCTTTTCCGCTGATCAAATACCTTCCGCTCTGGGCTTCACTTTCCCACGTAAATACTTTGGAAG